AGAAACCTCTGAGTGTTATGCTTCCAAATACTGGTATCAGTAGTGAATAGTATATGGGTCAATGTTCATGGAGAGAATGAGATAAACAAGGTTCTTGTTGTAAACACTTGAGTTACTTAATATGTTCCCAGTAATGCCCAACCTAATTTCTTTGTATTGCAAAATAGCAATAAATTTGAATGTGCTAAGTCTGATCCTGCAAATGTAAAGTGTGCTAATTAAATCCCCTTGTTTTTAATTCGTTTCCGATCATATGCGTTTGATGCTGATCATTTGAATAGCAGGCAAAACATCTTGGCATTTCTCCAGCTATTGGAAGAAAGTCTCTTACAATGACTCACAGCATTTTCAAAAGCAGCTAGTGCTTTATGGAGCTCATTTTGTGCTATTATATCGAACCTGGATTTAATTCATCACTCCTGAGTATTGCCAGAAGTGGTGTCCAAACAGCAGCAATACAGACAGGTAAACGCTTTGGTAGCTGGTTCCTGCAGAAATTATTGCGCTGTGAGTTCTATACAGAAAAAATTGATTAGCTGCATGCTAAATTTCAGTCATAGATACTGTTCCTGTAACTTGTCCTCTTGTCTATTTCTCTTCTCTCTCTGACCCCCCCACACACACACACTCCCCCTCACCCAGTGGACCGTGACATGGTGCAGCACATGATGCTTCACTTTATTCATTTTGACTTCTAAAATATACTTTATAGTATAATCTGTGAAGTGCTTTGAGACATCTCAACAACATAAAGCGCTAGATCAAATGCAAGGATTACTATAGATATTTAATTAATTTTTCTTTGCATTTGTTTCTGTAGTTTGTTTCCACCCACCCTCCCTTCCTCATCACTGTCAATCAGTCCTTTTATTCATTCCCATATTTATTACCCTGAGCTGAAGACAATTTGGAAAAATAAAACCTGGGTTAATAATATCTCCTCATCTTTGCCCGGGTGGGGGGGGGCAAGTATATTAGATGCACTGGTTTGTAAGCGACGCGATGTTCAACTTGCAAACTGATTACATCATTGCTTTTAGAAGCATGAACTGAAAAATCCTTTGTGATGGGAGAAGAATTGGTGCCTCCAACATTGGTGCCACATTCAATACCATTTCACTCCCATCCACCAATGTGATTTCTACTGATGGAAGTGACTGCAAGAAATGCATATATGGGGTATGCTCCCAATTCCTGAAACTTGTGGCCATATACTCTACGTGCAGCTTTCAAAGTTAGCAATAGAATCATTAGGCTCCTGAACATCACAGTGTGCTGATGTCAGGTTAGCATGAATGTACTAAGTGTATGTTGGGTTAAAATTTTTGCTCAATTCTGAGGATTGGTAATGCATCCATCTCCCATGGTAGTTATGGAACAGTTTATATTAGTTATTATTTTCATTCACTCCCCCTTCCTTTTCCGTAAACACAGCATTGTATTTGTTTGCTGTCATCATAAACCTCAAATATTGGCTGTTGGCTATTATCTGAGATGGTTGGGGAAATTGTGAGCTTATTGATCCTTTCTACCCTCTTCATAAAATTATACAGCACAAAGGAGGCCAAATAATAATAACCCTAGCTTCTCTAACCTCCCCTGATAACTGAAGTCCCTCATTCCTGCTACCATCCTGGTAAATCTCCTTTGCACCCTCTCCAATGCTTTGACATCCTTCCTAAAGTGTGATGCCCAGAACTGAACGCAGTACTCTAGCTGAGGCCTAACCAGTGTTTTATAAACATCTTCTATTCTCCTAAAATGAATAACCTGCTGATACAGGGCTGGCTGCCTGGGAGAGGAGTGCAGGGAAACTTTTAGTTCATGTGGAATTGTACTACCGTATAAGTTGGGCTTCACGAGAGGAGACATTTTGCAGGGGGTCTAACGGTGAGGAGTGATTTCAAAAAGGGATGTTAAAAAAGCATCTTAAACGAGCTTCACCTGATGGCCAATTGAGTAAAGGCAGTAGGTGTAGCGCTGAGCCACATAGAAAAGAAAGTTGCAGGTCTGTGCTGTTAAACAGAGGAACAGCCTTGGGCTCATCTGTATCAGTGGTCAAACAGGTCCATATTGATAGTCCTCAATAAAATAAATTGTTGCATATGATATAGTACCTTTTATGTCAGGAGAACGTCTCAAAGCACTTCACGGAATTTGCTTAAAATGTAATGACTATTTTGTAAGTCGACGCAAGTATTAAGTAAGTATTCAGGAGTTTCACACCTTAATACTGGCCACCTTGGGCAAGCAACCAATCAGACAGAACCTGTGGAATTGTAAACCAGAGGAAGTAAATAATTTCTATTTTAAGAATAATTGGCAGAGAGGAGGAACCACCAGCAAGAAATGCAATTTATTGAGAAATAACAAAACACACTGTTAACACCAGCTGGCTTTCTGCTTGAGCTGGTGTGTTAATATTGAGGCTGATCTGTTAGATGACATCTTTCAACAAGTCGGAAATTCCTGACAGCAATCCTTTTAAGCATGTCAAACTGGGGCACCCAATTGTGAAGGCAAGGGACTGGGTGATTAATTATCATTCACAAGTTAAAAATACTTGGGAAATATGAAACCACGAGCTGTCCCCGGTGTCTGTCTGGGTTCCTCCGTAGATGGGAGGCTAACCTTAATGTACTGTGCTGCAGGAAGTGTGGTGCTCCAAAAATACGCCATTGGCACATCGAAGGAGGCACGCCTTTGAACTATAACTCACTAGTTCATTTGGTTCCTTTGCATTCAGAGCTCAACCCTCCACTTAAGAGGGGAAGTGTTTTATTTCCCCTGTCTACTACTGTGTTTGCGTAAGTGTTACCTGTCTGCGGTTACACAGATTCAGCTGTGGAGCAGTTCACGACCTCATGAGATTTGTTTGGATGAAAAAGACTGTTTGGCCCATCTGATCTCATCTTTGTTACCCGTATTTCTCCTCTTCCCGCCAACCCCCGCATTAGAACATCAAGTTCCGCCACAACTGTGCACACTTGAGAGGAAACTTGATGCATAAATAAGAGAAAAAAGGAGTGGTCTTTGGGGAGGCTCCAGAGGGGGATTAGGAGTGGAGGCTCATGTGGGGTACAAACACTGGCATGGACTAGTTATAGTTAGGCTGAATGACTTGTTTGGGTCCTGGTAGATTCTATGTATTCAATGTAAGTGACCGCAGAGCAGAATTCCCCCATTGGTTGAAGGATAAAGGCAGTGCTCGGTGACTGTACACACCAGAACATTGCAGTTATTTTTATGGTAATATATTCTGAGTTGGCTGTTCTGGGGCATGGTAACAGTTGAAGTATTCCTACGTGACAGTAGGAGGAATCAAGATTTCCACTAATGATCTCTGTCCAATTCCCTATTGGATAGGCCTGGGTTTGATCCCCGGCAGGGCAAATTGTTGGGCAAGTTTCCTTACTCCACATGCCTCTATTTACCTTGCAATAAATAGGAACCTGGTTGTTAGTTGATGGACGGATCTCTTTTCCGGGCTAATAATTCCTCAAAAAAATAATAACAATTTGGTCACTCAATCCACAACTGTTTGTGGGACACTGCTGTGCGCAATTGGCTGTTATGTTGCGCCCACAAAATATAGTCAATTTATTTTACAGTATATTCTGTGAAGTACTTTGAGACGTCTCGAAGATGTGATAAGGCGCTATATCAAATGCAAGGATTATTATTGTCTGTCCCGCATAGCCACCTGCCTTTCTCAACGCTAATCAACTGCATTCCACAGATGTCATTTTCATAGTCTGGTAGCAGAGAATCTATAACCATGTGTCTGTACTTGCCTTTTATAATCCGTCATTTACTAAACTAGATGTTTAGCTGTGAGTCTGGTCCCAGATACCTTTGGCATTGTTGCTTTTCGTACTAGCTGTGCTTGTGTCCTTGTGGGATCATTGACCAGAATTAAGTAATCTTCAGTCTTTGCATATCATTACTGTACTTCAGTACTCTAAAGACTGGATTGTCCCCATTGTAATCTTCAATAAAACAAGTTTAACATTATTTTGGCCTCGTGGCCTGCTCATGCCTCTTGCTTTTAGAACCAAATCTTCTGAACTATGTAATGTATTGATATTCTTATGGACAAAATGTTCTAAATGTACTGTAATGATTAACCAGGATTAAAATAAATTTGTTTTGATCTACAATCAAGTGCCCTTGAGATCCTCACTTCAATATAACAAGAACAGAGGAGGCAAGGTGCACATGTGAAGTGCAGTGACTGTATTTTGTAGGTGACCTACAAAGGTAGAGTTATCCTGTCACCTCCATCTGAATTGTAAACCTACAAAGTATACAATCTTATGTTAAGCTTATCAATGTAAAATTACCAGAAATTTATACTTCAGTCTTGTATATTATATTTTAACCACTTGTTTCTCCCTTATATTTTATCTGTTTTGATGTAGTACCTTGCATGCTTTCAGTTCCATATATGTAGCTGAATAGGCATTAAGATCTTTAACATTATTTAACCAACAGAAGTGACCTTGGTTTAGTGTCATATCTAAAGGATCTACAACAATAAAGGGTAGCGCATCACCGCTCAAATCCTGACAAGGGGTTTCTGACTTTTAGGTATAAATGCTAAAAACTGAACCACGCTTAACACTTTGTAGTCACTCTTATGGTTCATCTGCACCAGCAATATCCTACACAAGGATTAATTCCCTGTTCATCTCATCTGAAGGTTAGCACCTCTTAGTGATACGAATGAACTCCGCATAGCATTGGAGAGTAATTCTGGACTGCGAGTGCAAGCTTGGATATGGAGGTTGATCCCAGAAGCATAGAAATGAAAATGCTATTCACTGAAGAGGCCATTCAGCTCAGCTGTCTGACTGGTGGGAACTCTTATCTCCTGTGTGACATATGGTTCTCAAGCTTGAGGGATTTTTGCAAAATTGACAGAATAAGAAATGTTCAGTGTTAAATCGGGTGCAAAATTATTGGGATTGATGTTTTACTTTGTAATGTTTTTTTTCCAGACACAAACCATGAACTATGTTGGGCAGATTCTGGTAACATTCAAGGAATTGTACAAAGGACTAAATCCTGCAACACTCTCAGGCTGCATAGATGTGATTGTGGTCCGACAGCAGGATGGCACTTACCAGTGTTCACCATTTCATGTGCGGTTTGGAAAGCTAGGGGTTCTCCGCTCAAAAGAGAAAGTGGTAAGTTTGCAAGTCTAAACACAAAAAATGTTTATCTTAGATAGTGAGTGAAGTGACTGTAGTTCATTCAAACACCATTATAATGCAACAACAACAAACTTGCTTACAGCACGACTGCCCCATTTATTCATGCGCTTAGCCAGTCGGCTCGCTTTTCATGTTTAAATTTGCTGCCTTCTGCATCATTATCACTGCTGATATATCTATCTTCCTGTACACCGGAAGTGATGTGAACAGCAGAGGTCTCCTGACCCACAAGTCGGTCACTGAGCTGATGCAGTTATTATCCAAGCAGATTAATAATTTGCAATGTAAAATAGACTGCCTTTGATTTTCTTGCTTTGCTCGTGAATATTTTTGCAAAACCGGCATACGTCAAACCTCAAAACTTCAAAGGCTTAAAACGTTTGCCTTCAACATTTCAGACCTTTCACTGTTTGTCATGGCCAGAGAGGTTTGTTTGAAAAATTCTTGAAAAATGGTTATAAGTAAAAATGTAAACTCTTTAAAACTTCTGCCAGTACTGATGACATATGCCAGTGTTGTACATTACATTCACTTTCAGAAACATGTAGGAGCCAAAAACAGTCTAATCTGTTTTCAGCAGCCACTTGGGGACTGGATCAAAGTGGCCTTTATGTAAGGGTGGCCCCTGAATCAAGGTTCATTATGTGTGTATAATTTCTAACTGGTATGTGTATAGAAAAATATAGTGCACATACGAACCCATAAATCAGTTACAAAATATAAACCTGCATTGTTTCCATGGGCCAAAAATTTCCACATGCCCACGTGTAGCTTCCCGCTATTCCTAGCGCCTGTGCCGCGCTGAGACAAACTGGACCGGATCTAGCCGCTGAAAAGGGTGTCTGACGTAAACAGCACGTGCACTGATATTTATGGTAACATTACCGTTTTTAAATGTTATGTCTCCTTAGTTCACACCAGTGCGTGAGCTTAGTGTGACGTTCCTCCTCTAAAGAAGAATGACTGGGTAGATCGAGTCAGCCCCACCCTAAGCTGGAAATTACCCCAAAGCAGTTATCAGTGCTTGCATGGGTTTATTGCTGAATAATCCTGCTCACATCTCCTTCTCCCTTTTGATACAGTGCTGCTCTCGCTCTAATCTCTGAGTTAGAATGGGAATAACTCACATGATCAGAGCAAGTGGCTTTTAATGGTCAAGCTTTTGAGCTAAACAGTGACCCTCTTTGTGAAGAATCTACCATCTAATCTAACATTACAAACAGAGATGATAAAATATTCACAATGTTGTTCATTAGCTTTGTCTTGTCTATTTTATGCAGACGCACAGAACTTCATTTCACTGAATGAAGTGAACATGTGGCTTGCTGAAACAAACAACCTTTTTTCCTGTTGACGTGATTTTTATAAAATGGAAGATTTTAAATACTATTCAGCTTTGCCATTTTTACTGATCAAACTTTCCAGTTATTTGCCATTTTATTCATTAAATTGGCTGCTCCATTTGCCCACAAAACACGTAGAGACTCCATTTCACACTGTAGCTCTTGTTAAGGCCTTTAAAAGGGAAAAAAACCTTTAAAAATCTAGATTACATGATGATCCGTTAACTTCATTAATTGGTTCAAAGCTGGAGGAGAAGGAAGATGTTTTGGGTGTGCGTGGAGCACCACATTGTGATGCTATTGTAAGGTGCCTCACTGGAGTGCGAGTCCACTTATAATATTAGTGTCCTGTGGATTCATGGATACCGCAAGTGTGGTACATTTCTGACACCATCATACCAGCTTCCTTTGTATGCATGCAATGTACAGGAATCCAGCCGATCTGTGCCAGAAGCGATATCAGATGCGACCTGGAAGCAGGACCAGTGGTCAGCAAGTTATGTTTGCGTGACAGATATTAGTCAGAAGTTAAACAAGACATATTTATTACTCATAAGGAAGTGTTTAAATAGCATGTCTTGCATGAAGTGTAATTATCCATGAATACAATACTACAGTTTTAGTGGGATATTTATAAAAGGACTTGCCTTATTCAGTGTTTCCAAGTTAATGATGATTAACCGTGAGTTCCTACTTGTAAACAAAAAAAGGTTCCAAACAAGACCCAACATTCAGTGGAATTTCTGTTCAGATTCTCTGTCCCACCAATTCTAGTCAATAAAACCAAATACCAGGTGTTGTATGAACTTTTGTTACACATACTGATACCATGCCCAGATTTAGCAGAATTTGGTCTGAAGATCTTCTTTTATACAACAACAAATTAAGTTTTTATAGCGCCAATCACATCAGGAGGATATTCCAAATTGCTGGTCAGTCAGGGATCCGCACACGAGCTGGTAGTTGGGATCAGGAGGGGTGGCGGGTGGGGAGGAGAGGGATAGCAGGGTGACCAATGGCACAGTCGAAGAGGAGGTTCTTGAGACGGGTCTTGAAGGAGGCAACGGAGGGGGTGAGGCAGAGGGACTGTGGGGTGGAGTTCCAGAGGGTGGGGGCAGAAAGGCTGTAGGCCTGTCTGCCAATGGTGGGGCGGACAAGGCGGGGGACTTGAAGCAGGCCAGAGTCCACTGAGCGGACTGGTCGGTAGGGGCTTAAGAGGTGATGGAGATAGGGAGGAGTAAGGCTTTGAAGGTGAGGACCAGGAACTTGAACTGTATCCTCTGAGTGATGGGGAACCAGTGGAGTTGGGTGAGGATGGGCGTGATAAGGTCACAGAGCCTGGTGTGGGAGAGGAAACAGACTGCAGAGTTCTGGATGATTTGCAGCCTATGGAGGAGGAGTTGGCGAGGCTGACAAGCAGGGAGTTTGCATAGTTGAGTCTGGATGCAATGAACGTGTGGATGAGGGTCTCGGAGGCCTGCGGTGAGAGACAGTGCCGGAGACAGGCAATGTTATGGAGGTGGGGGAAATGCATAGTGGGTCATGGCACCGATATGGGGATGAAGGACAGTTAAGGGTCAAACAGGATGCTGAGGTTCTGTATTGGCTTCAGAGGTGCAGAATGCATCCATGAAGGGTAATGCTGCAGCGCCTGAGATATGCAGGCGCTGATGGGAGACAAACAGGAGGGCCTCAGTCTTGTTGACATTCAATTGGAGAAGTTAGCTCTCATCCAGGACTTGATGTCCGACAGGCTGTTTGCGAGGACAGTAGTGGTCCTGGAGTCGAGGGTGGAGGTAGAGTTAGATGTCATTCATCCGCCTACATGTGGAAGTTGAGCCCATGTCTGCAGATGATGTCACCAAGAGGAAGCATGTAAATGTTGAAAAGGAGGGGACCAAGGACAGAGCCCTGAGGGACACCACATGTGATGGTGCAATTTAAAGGCAAGGTACAAGTTATGCATAGCAGGTTTGATCTGCTTGAGCTAACTGGTTCAGCCAGGGAGTAAGAGCAGTGCTAGAATTAAAGACTTGCCCATTCACATCAAAACATCTCCAGTGCTGTCTAGTTGCATCTTCTGAGTTTAAAAATTAAAACCTATTAAATCCAGTGCCACATTCAGTGTCTAGTGACTGACCATCTCCATTCAAATGAGATGCAAATTGTCATTGAATACATTAAAAACTTGTCATCACCACAGTCGATCATGCCTCCTCCACCACCGCCTGTCTTCCCATCATCCACCTCAGTGGGACCGCACTCACTTGGTTTGAGTCCTACCTTACAAACCGCCAACACTACATTTCTGCAAATGGCTTTTCTTCTTGCTTCCACCCGGTCACCTGCGGGGTACCCCAAGGATCCATCCTTGGCTCCCTTTTCTTCCTCATCTAAATGCTCCCGCTCATTTTATGTCATCCACAGTCACGGGGTTAACTTCCACGTGTAAGAGGATGACACTCAACTCCACGTTTCCACCTCCAGCTGCAACCCCCAGTCCCCTGATGTTCTGTCAGCTTGTCTGTCAGACGTCAAGAGCTGGATGAGTGCAAATGTCCTGTAGTTAAATGTCAACAAGACGGAAGCCGTATCTTTGGCTCCTGCCGACGTCTTCTGTCCCACGGTTCTGACCTCCTCAATCTACCCAATCTGTCCTTAAAACCCTCCGTGGCAACTTAGGCATCAGGTTCGATCCTCAGTAATCCTTCCTCCCCCACATCCGGTCCCTGACCAGCACTGCTTTCTTCCACCTCCGCTACATTGCCCGTCTCTGACAATATCTCACCCCAAAAGCTGCCAAAACCTTTGTCCATGCCTTTGTCATCTTTCGATTGGACTACTCGTGGAGTCCTGTAGCTCAGTGGTTAGAGCACTCGCTTTGCAAGTGAGAGACCTGAGTTCAATTCCAGGCAGGGCAAAACCTTGGGCAAGTTTCCTTACTCCACACACCTAATAATAATCCCTCCAAAACAAAACAATAATAAATTGGTCATTTTCAATCGATGACTGTTTGTGGGAAATTGGCTGCAGCGTTCGCCCACAAATATACAGTCAATTCACTTTACAGTATATTCTGTGAAGCGCTTTTGAGACGTCGAGAAGACGTGAAAAGCGCTATATCAAATGCAACGATTATTATTCACAAAATTCGGCTCATTCAAAACTCTGCCGCCCGATTCTCACCTGCACCAAACTTGGTACCCCAAGTCCTTGTTACTCCAGTCCTTGTCAAACTCCACTGGCTCCCTGTCACAGAGCGGATTGACTTCAAGATCCTCACTCTAGTGTTTAAATCCCCATTCCTTGGCAACCCCTATCTCGCTAACCTCCAATCTCCCCACAGCAGTACCCGCAGGGTCCGGCCTTCTCCATGTCCCCCGAATCCTCCGCCCTGAAACTTTGGGACTCCCTCCCTCAACCCCTTCACCTCTCCCCCTCCTTCCCCATCTTCAGGTCGCACCTGAAGGCCTTCCTCTTTGACCTTGCCTACGGTCACCTTCCCGCTGAGGCGCTGCCAGGCGTGAAGGGCGCTATATAAATGCAAGTTGTTGTTGTCATGGAGGGTGAATCTCAGATCTCTTGTGTTCATTTGTATATTTAATGCTGACACGCAACTTTTAGCTGTTGTCCTGAAAATCCATGTCTGTGTGGTGGGAAAGCACAACCAGGGTATACTGTTACATTAGAAAATCACAACCAAGTAACTAAATACTTCTGGTTCTGTATTTGAGTCAATGCTTTGTAGCCAATTGACTTCAATAATAATACTTGCATTTGATATAACACTTCATCATGTCGTTGAAACATTTCAAAAGCAGTTCACGGGATTTAACTGTAAAGTATTGTGATTATTTTGTAGGTAAATATGGCAGCCAGTTTGTACACAACAACTTCCCACAATCAGCTCTGAAGTGATTTAGAACAACAATGTGCATTTATATTAGCACCCTTCACGTGGGGTAGCGCTGGAAATCCAAATGAGTTATTTCTACTGATTTGAGTTGAGTCAGCACCAAAATGCTTAATGTTTCTTGATTGAGAATAATGGATAAATAAGCAAGTCGTGTGGTGTTATAACCTAGTGGATGTAGTTGAATACAATCCCCAGTCTGGTTGGGTGCATTTTTTTAATATTCTAAAACGAAGCATGGAACAAGAATATGCTATTTGTGCCATCAAGCCTATTGCTTTCACGTGCTTCCCCATTTGTAGGCTTTACCTCATCCACTCTACCTGCTTAGTGAAAGTTCCAAACAGATGTTCCCTGATGTCAAAGCTATTAACCAGGATTGTCCTTACTTTGAGTGTAACTATTTTATGCCCTGCCATCTACTGTCAGGGGATAACTCCAAGGTACAGTGCCAGTGAGTTTTTTGTGTATTATTAAGCTTTTTGCTGATTTGGTGACATTGTGACTCATTGTCTGCTTAGGTGTCAGCCCTGCACTGTTGGTAACAGGAAGGTTTTGAGTACACGCCCCATGCTGGGACTTTGAACTTGCATTCCAGGCTAACATTTCAAAACAGCGTTGTATCACTCAACAACAAATTAGATTTGGATAGGGCCTTTCACTTCCGGTGGACATCCCAAGGTGCTGGACAGTCAAGGATTTGGACCGGGGCAGGGATCAGGAGGAGTGGAGGGCAGGAAGAGGGCCGTTTTTTGTATATTATTATTGTAGCTGAGCCTGACTCCCACATACTAGATCTTTGCGAGAAGGCAGTGGAAAACCTGAGGGAGCTGTGGATCCGGTTATTATCTATGCAACATTCAATTAGTGGTCGTATTTATATAAAATTAACTGAACTAGTTCCATTATGTTCTCGGGTTATTTCTCCCCTGAGAGACATTAATTTACTGCTTCCTGAAATAAACTTGATCGCCAGTACTGTTGCTGTATCCTATATTTGTTATAAAGTATGAGTTTATTCCTGTCTAAAAATATTCATTTGCAATAAGATATAATTAAGTGGCAATAGATGTGTGGGAGTATAGTACATCATATTTGAGGCAAGGTAGTTAACAAGTCTTTCAAAGTATCATTAACCGCAAAGTATGTTGCAATTCTGTACTTCTGTATATATGTGGGTGTTCCCTGGGTTCAGTTTGAAGTGGAAAATTTGTAGCTTCATTAATATTACCAGAAACCTTTATAAATTTGCTGCTCCCAAGTAGAGAACCTGTATAATTAACGAAGATAATGCATGTTAAATCAAATTTATGAACATTGTTCTCCAATTACAGTGGTGATGGTTCTTCTTGGGATTTTATTAAATGAACATCACATTTTCCTCACACATAGAATAAGATTTGAAATGTTGAAAGATAACGTTTTAAATCGGTAATGGTCAAGTAATGTGCTCTGTGTTGCATTTTTTTAATGGAAATGATTGTACAGAATTTATTTGTTTTTGGTTTGGGATTCACAGATTGACATTGAGATTAATGGAGACTCAGTTGATCTTCACATGAAGCTGGGAGACAATGGAGAAGCCTTCTTTGTACAAGAAACAGAGGAAAATCAGGTAAATCAAATATATCCTGTTGTCATTTTTTTTAATATAGGTGGCTACAGTGCGTGATTATTGTGCAGCTAATTATGACAGCTTCTGATAAGTGCCTGCCAAAGTTTAATTCATAAACATATAATGTGGTTTGCGAAAGCTCATTTGCACATCAATAGAAACTAGCCATTCTTACAAACTCTAGCAAACCATATTGGATGGTTTGTGTCCTCTTTGTACAGGAGATATTCCGAGGGCATGCACGCACAGCATAGGCATGTGGTTTTAATTATGAGCTTTGAAAAACATTTTCTTTGTGATTTCTGCTTCTGTAAGGAATTATTCCTACAGTCATCTGATTTCCTGCAACTGTAGTGAACAAACCTCAGTTCGGCTTCCAAAGATTTCTTCGGAGGCCTGTAAGAGTGATGTTGAGCTGCCTGCTCGTATAGTCATTGGATTACGTCCATCTAGATCCAGAATGTTGTAAATTTGTCCTTTAAGAAATTCTTGAGCCTCAAGTCACACCAAGTGATTCGCCAGGTTGGGGCAAAGCTGTACTTTTTTTATTATATAATCTTGTCCTATAATTTGCTGTTGTTTCTTTGCTTTTCAGGAGAAAGTTCCTGCTCACCTGGCCACCTCTCCAATTCCTATAGAAGAGGGTCAGTTTTTCAAGGCTCTCGAGTGGAATTTGGGAAAATGTGCGAACATGGAAAGTGAACCATGCCTGGGGAATGTTGGGCAGCAGGCTGAACCAGAGGCTATGGGCAGCATCGGCTCAGTGAAAAAGAAAAAGCGGCGCAGAAAGAAGACTAAAGCAGAAGGCAGAAAGGATGAACGGCCGCCATCAGCTGGAAATGAAGACATCTTTGAAATGGAGATTAGTTCTGATGAAGAGAATACAGTATATTCACCTAGGTAAAAATATGTGCAAAGCAACTTTTTTTCTCCTTTCGCTGGTTTTGTGTGTAGCCCCTTAGAATTCCTTTTTGCTGGTTTTGGTACTATGTGAGTCGGTCTATGTTAAAATAATAGAAGAGAATGATTACGCTCTGTTTGATATCTCCTCTGTGTTCTATCAATGAGTAAATGGGTTGTGTAAACTTAGCTGAGTGCTTGCATGCACTGTATAAATGTAGCTCAGCGCTTCCATGAAAAACAATGTAAATTTGTGTTCCTATGTTTTTTTTAAAAAAAAGGATACTAAGCTTTTTTTATTGTGATCTTCATCCAGGGGACCTGCATATTCTCCAGTAAAGGAAAATGAGTTGGAGTCTCTGAAATTTCAACCCAAAGACAATTACCCACATTCAGATGGCGACTGGGAGGCCATTGAAGGGTATGTAATGTGGTCCTAAATTAAGTTCCCTATTGCTTTCTATCTGCTGACTAACTAGAACGATAAATAACTAACAGTTTGCTCTGAAACATGTGGAACTCTGTTAAAATTACAGCTTTTTTTCCCTTCTGTGCAGAATTTCTCCTTTACAGTCCTTTTCCCCCAAAAGTGACTCTGAATTAATGGTGAAACCTTCTGCTAACTTGCTGATGTCCGAATCTCATATGGAGTGGTCATGGGGAGAATTTCCAGAGTCGACGAGGGTAATGTATTCCGTTGCACTAAGCAAAATTCTTCCACTGTTATTAGCAAAATATCAATTCTTAAATAAAACTGAAGCTGCTCCTTTTAAATATTTTGATCTTTTAAGAAAGCTCAATAATTAAATACATGTCTGATCATTTAATGTGAATTTGCAATGTATCGATTTGTTAAAATATGTACCCAAGTCATTGTTTGTGGTAAAAGTACACGCCTGATTGTTAATAGCGTTGATAGTGAGGGCGTTTCCAATATTGCTCATGATTTTATTCTGCTTTGATCAGTAACTCCCCTCAGCTTATTCAGAAACTTAGAAAATAGTTTTTCAAAAGTACTCAATTGTAAGGATCTTATTAAAGATGTGTCAGTGGTACAAGGTAACATAAATGCTACCAACTATCTTAGTTTGCTGCTGCATTCTCCTACATAAAACAGTCACTACATTTTACAGTAAATCCTGTGAAGTCCTTTGAAATGCATTCCCAGTGTGAAAGGTACTATATCAGATGAAAGGATTATTATTTTTATTTATCTTCCATTGCAGAACCTGTTTAATATGCAAAATTTTGGTTAAAGGGAAATATGCACTTAGGTTTTAATTCATGACTTTGTAGGTCAACAATAATAATAATCCTTGCATTTGATATAGCGCCTTATCATGTCTTCGAGACATCTCAAAGTGCTTCACAGAATATACTGTAAAGCGTAGTGACTGTGTGCTTTGTGGCCAAAAGCAGCAGCCAATTGCGCACAGCAGTGTTCCACAGACAATCATGGGTTGAGTGACCAAATTATGATTTTTTTTAAAAATTGCAGTCTTCCGCTTTGTGCCAGCTCCAAATGGTGCTTTTTCAGGATTCGAGTGGAATTGTCCTTATCACTTTGTCTTTGTAGATTAACAAAAGAGAGCGATGGGAAGAGCCGAAAACCTTCACAATTACTCCGTCTGATAGCACTCACTTCAGGGTTATCCTGAGTGCTGATGCCATGAACGAGGATGCTGACTCGGAAGCCATGGCTCCTGCAGTACTAAAACCTGAGCCCAGGGCTCTGGTAGATGTTGGGGAAGCTGCTACTGAGAGCAGGGTTGACACTTTGCAGGAACATCCTGTCATCATGCCATCACCATATCCAAAGGAAACTGCAGTCGAAATTGAATCGCAGGTGGACAGCTCCTCTCCTGCAGCAACAGATGCACAGATTGTCGCAAAAACTGATTCTCCATCAAAGAAAAAAGGTATATTTTTTCTGTACATGGAAAACATAATCTGTGCTAGGAAGGCAGTAGTCTGTGGGTGGGGGTAGGGGGATGGATAGATATTTTGCAGCTCTCTGTGTTTTTTCCTGGGTTTATGCAGCAAACTTTGCAGTGGATTAAATGAGCCGGGAAGGAGAAGTTTATTAGTTAGGTTTTGCATGGTCTTGATGGACTGAAAGGCCTTTTTTTCGTACAATGTTTTATGTTCAAAATGTTGCACAATTATAATAAAATTTGCGTGATCTTTCAAAAGTGCGAAATTAAAACCAAGAACCTACACTGGTTGTACAGTGTAATAATTCTGTGATGGGATTAATTTATTAATATGGTTGGTTTGGATCAGTGTGGTTTAACCAACTGAGCTCGTGCATCTTCCTTGGAAGGGGAGAGGAGGAGGAAAGTATGGTTTCCCTCTTGCTATTAGTTTGGAGCAAGATCACTTCCTCTGGAATAAGAGTAAATGTTCATTTAAACCACATAATTAATATTGACAGGTTGGCATAAAGCTATGTCATCCTGGTAACCGGAATGCAACTCTTTAACCATCTGTGTCTGTGCTGACACCAAACAATGTCATGCCTTACAAGGTTTTTAACTTTTTAGATCCACCTGTTTTAAAATTGAGCCAATTTTATGTACATGGTGTTGTTATTTCTGTGTGTGCCACATTAGTTTTATGTTTATCTTGTGGAGTGGCCAGGTTTCAGGGGGGCAATGAAAGGATCAACTCAGTTCTCAAATAAATAAAAATTTATTTAAGCAGGAGCACCTTTTTTATCAATTGAGAAATCTAAATGAATTTTTTTTAAATTGTAGATCGACGAAGGTTAGTAAGATCACTGAGCCAGTCAGGAACCTAGGTATCTTATTTGACCCTCACCTGTCCTTTCTCCCCCACATCCATGCCATGACCGCTCTGCCTTCCCCCACCTCTGCAACATCGCCTGGCTCCCCCACTGCCTCACCCCTCAGGCCACCGAAACCCTCATTCACACCTTCATCACATCTAGGCTCAACTATGCCAATACCCTGCTTGTCAACCTTCCCAACTCTTCCCTCCACAAGCTGCAGATTATCCAATACTCTGCAACTTGTGTCCTCTCCTGCACCAGGCTCCGTGACCCATCACTCCCACCCTTGCCCGGCTCCACAAGATCCCCATCCCTCAGAGGATAGAGTTTAAAATCCTCGCTTTCAAGGCCCTCCACAGCCTTGACCCTTCCGAACTCTGTGACCTACTAACCCCTTATCAAACTGTCCACTCCCTTGGCTCAGCAGGCTCCAGCCTGCTCCACGTCCCCCGCCCGGCCATCCCCAGCATTAGCGGTTGGGCCGTCAGCTTCTCCGCCCGCACCCTTGGGAACACCATCCCTCATTCCTTTCACATCTCTCTCTCTCTTACCTCCTTCAAGGCACGTCTCTTCTTCGACCATGCCTTCGCCTACCCTCCAACCGACGTGAAAGGCGCTATACAAATGTAATTTTATATTGTATCTGCTTGTATCTTCTCTGCACTACATAGAGAGTTGCTTGCTGATGATCTACAAATCATCAGGAGTTTTATATTTTGGGGGATTCTTTTCTGAAAATCTAAAGGGAGTGCTGCATGTGATCAGGTGTTGTCCATTTCTAACAGGAAAAGTTGGTGACCAACTGAGTTGGGAGCAGATTGTGTCCTTGGACTAGTTTGGAAAGTCAATGTCACATTTAGCAGCTATGGGTGCCTCTATTCCAACTGTGTTTGCTAAACAGGTCTCCGTAAACGAAGTCAGCATCAGGGGCCCGATGACATCTATTTGGATGATCTGACTGTTTTGGAGCCCGAAGTTGCAGCTCGATATTTTCCCAAAAGGTACAGTGTTATCTTTGTCTAATAATTCCCTTCATTATTTTGGTTTTGATGCAGCAGACTGCAAGCTTTCCTGACAGCTGAGAAGGTAATGGTGCTGCTTAATGCACCAAAGAGATCAAAAATGGTAGTTTGTTGAATTTCTGGTCTTCTCTGAGATAACTAATCTCAGCTGGAGCATAAATTGGGGCATGGTTGTTAGTGAGGGAGGGATCCTGCTCCTCACTTGATTGACAGGTGAGCAGAATCCAGCTCCGCTAAGTTGCTTTCCATGGTCAAATAGTCTACCAACACTCCTCACAGGAGGACAGAACACTTAAGTTCCCCAGAAGAACAGTCAAGGGGACAAATATCAGACAAACTTGAGGTGACCTGATGACCCAGAAGTGCTAACCAGCAGCCATTTTTATAACACGACCCATTATAACACGACCCATTATAACACAGGGTATGATTTTGTGTGCCTAAACTATCACATCACAACAGGATCCAACTGCATGTGCACTAAAATCGTGTTGTGGAATAATTTGGGGCGTTTCTAAATATGGTAATCCTATTTGTACAATATAAGCACTATATCAAATGCAAGGATTACTATTATTAATACGAATGAGGTGAAGGACATTTCCTTTTGCAAACATTTACTGAGGTTCAACATTGGGGATGTTTACAGCCATAATGTTTTCAGAATAGGTCTGTGGAACAGCACAGTGCGAGTTAGTCTGATTCAGTACCAAAACTAAAAATCGCTACCTTGTTCCTCTCCTTTCCTTCCTCCCTTTCTGTAGCGAGATTGATAGCAATTCCAAACTCTGGACCGAATTGGAGACGCATTCTGGTTCTCAGTCCCCACAGTCGGTTGGGAGTGCAGCAATGGACAGCGGCACAGAATGCCTTTCAGATTCAGCAGCTGACCTGCCAGATGTTGTTCTCTCTCTGTGTGGGGGTTTCAGCGAAAATACCGAGATTTCCAAAGGTAGGACCTGAGATTGAAACTGAAAGCTTCAGCAGAAAGTGTTCCTCCACTTGCGGAATTGTTATATTTGAGTTTTCTACATCATATGATGTATTTTAGAATAGCTGGTTAGAAATGTACTGAAAAGGACCATGTGTTGTTAAGCCTCTAAGTATAATCCAGGCAACCATTCCTGGTCCTGATGTCTTTACGGCTGCCTCTAAGCAGCAATTGTGAAGCCTGAAATGAGCAGTGACTGAGAAATCAGGGCGAAGGCTTCCTTTCCAGCATTTATGATTACATGGTCGTTAGGTAGATAGTGTGGCCCTTTAATTTTTGTGGATTAAAGATACAATACACCTATTAATGAACCGTGTCTCCTAAATTGTATATCAAAGGGATCAAGGGTTTAGAAAGCAACTTGAATGAATGGTTCACATCCTAATAGGAGGTGGGGCGAGGGTGGATATAAACCTATGTGGAGTCCTGTAGCTTAGTGATTAGAGCACTTGTCTCACAAGCTGGAGTACCTCGATTTGATTCCTGGGTAAGGCGAAATGTTGGGCAAGTTTCCTTGCTCCACACACCTCTGTTTACCTAGTAGTAAGTTGGAACCTGGTTGTTGTCAATTGGTGGATCGCTTTTCCGTGAATAATAATCCCTTTATATAAAAAAATACAATTTAAAAATAAATAAATAATTTGGTCACTCAATCTATGACTCTTTTGGGATACTGCTGTGCGCAATTGGCTTCCCACAAAATATATAGTCAATTCACTTTACAGTATATTCTGTAAAACGCCTTGAGAGATCTAGAAGATGTGATAAGGCGCTATATCAAATGCAAGGATTATTATTATAAATACGGACTATTTGGGCCGAATTACCCACTTTCATTCTATATCACAGTTTGTACATCTGTGTAATCCTGTTTATAGTTGTTCAAATTGACCTCATCGTACTAGTAAACAGCATGATAGGACAGTTCAGCTTCAATACTTTTTAATAGCATTTTAACAAAAAATGTTTTTCAGAAAAATTCTTGAAGCACGTTGTTACCCATCTTGAATTTGCGGAAAATCCCAGCCTTATAGATGATCCTAATCTTGTTATAAGAATTCGTAACAGGTATAGTAATCAAACAATATTACTGACCATCTTCTTATTGGTGAGTTTGTGTGAAGTGCATTTTGGACTAAAATATTGCTTAATTTTATGGCAACCAATAGGAAAGTTGCTCTTGGCTTTTTTCTTCCAGTTTAATGCATTTTTAATAAATACATTTGCTTGAATCAACAATCTATTCAGTTTTTAATTTCATCTATTTTAACCTGGTTAGTTTATTGATCTGCAGTTTATTAAGTTACATTTTATTCACAATGAGGAATCCTATCATAATTTCCTAGCCAAGCTTTAGAGTAAAATATTCTCAAATCGCATGCAATTTATGCTTTGTGCATTTTATTTATGGCAGTTTTCAGTAAATATATAGTATCCCTTAGGTGTCAGTCCACTTCTCTGAATAAATTGAGGCATTGANTTTTTTAAAAATTCTTAAACGAAGCACAACAGAATTCATAGTTATTGGCCTTACATTTAAGGCAAGGATGGTTTAGATTCTTTAGAGCAAGATAAGAATAGTTTATCACACAAAGCATTTTTGGAACGTGTTATTACACCTGCAAATTCTAAGGAGCCCAAAGTTTTTCAACCAAAGAACTAACTGATAATCTACCCCATAAATGTTAAACTCCTGAGTTGGTGCCTTTGCCTCCTAGTTGAGCCAAATGGCCTGTTTCCGTGCTGTACTAATCCACGTAACTCTAGGATTCGTTGTTATTATTGAGGACATGATTTATTTAAAATGTGTACTTTTACAGATACTTCAACTGGGCGCTGGCAGCTCCTATGATCCTCAGCATGCAAGCTTTCCAGAAGAGCCTCCCCAAGGTAAAGTATAAGATGAAGATTACTTGAACAGCCCAATTGTTTAATGTTACAAAACATACATCCTGTCCGTGCAAGAGGATCAAACAAAAAAATCTGTTAGCTGCTAGGTAATGCTGTTTTTTAAGATCACCTATCCCTTTTGTGGAACTAAAGATGTACTGTTAGCCAAAGTGCATCGGTTGTATGACCCCATTACACTTATCCCTCCCCTCTTCTGTCCCCCACTCCCCTACCACCAAGATGTACAGTTCATATATTTAAAAAAAATGGGGCAGTTTAGTGGATGGATTGAGCAATCTCAAACTGCCTGTAAACTAGATAATTGAGCGATTTTTTTTTAAGTCTGTGAACCATGGAAAATAACTTCAGGTGATTGTAAAAGGGAACTATGAGTAAAGATGGATTTCAAGCTTATGTGATTTTTAAAAAAATATATAAAATATATATACATGCAATGTAATAATAATCCTTGCGTTTGATAGTGTCTTATCATGTCTTCAAGACGTCTCAAAGCGCTTCACAGAATATACTATAAAGTGAATTGACTGTATATTTTGTGGGCGAAACATGGCATTCAATTGCGCACAGCAGTGTCCCACAAACAGTTGTGTATTGATTGACCAAATTTTTATTTATTTATTTTTGAAGGAAAGGTGATGCGCCAATCGACTAACAACCAGGTTCCTACTTACTGCTAGGTAAACAGAGGGTTGGGGAGTAAGGAAACTTGCCCAGCATTTCACCTTGTCGGGAATCAAATCCAGGTTCTCTCGCTTGCGAGACGAGTGCTCTTAACTACCGAGCTATAGGGCTCCACATAGTCCTCCACATTAGATAATATAATCTGAGTTTAACCCACTCTTGTAATCAATCAAACACAAAATCTTTAAATTTAAGGAAACTGAATGGGGTCTTGTAGTTGAATTAATATTCTCTGATGGTCATCCTATGGGACTATGGGGATTTTAACGGACTATGGGGATTTTGTTGCTTAAATGAACACAGCTCTAAAAGTACCAATTCTGCTTCACTGCCTGCAGACCACAATTGATGCTTGGGCTAAAGAGAAGATGCCAAAGAAGTCCGGTCGATGGTGGTTCTGGCGCAAGAGAGAGAATACAATCACTCAGGTAATACTAGACTTGATGTATTCCAAACCAATGGTTAATTTTGTCACTCTGGCAAAATTAAACTCCAGTCAATTTTCTAGGAGTGTTTTTTCTGACCAAAATTTCTCCCCCCTTCCATTGGAAATTGATTCCACCCACAATCTGCATTACAATTTTCAAAGTGTGATCTTTGTTGGCAAGTTATTTGTCCCCGGAGGAACAATAACAACTTGCATGAAATAGCGCCCTTCACGCGGGGTAGTGTCCCGGACCACATGACAGTGGCGGAGTCTGACACCGAGCCAAATGCTCGGGCCATTTGTGGAGCCTCTACTGCTAATTTCCCAGGTTGACACCAGCACAAAAGGATTTTGAGTTCTGGGTTATCTATTCTGTGTGGTTTAGTGTTCACCTTTGTCCGGTTGGCTGTCGGAGGAAAATCTTTTAATACTTTTGTCCATGGGTGAGAGGCGAAATTGCTGTCATACATCCTGTGATGTGTAAGAAATATCTTGCTTTGGCTTTCATTTTAAATGAAATGCAATGATAAGTTCTGTTTCTCTTTTGGCAGCCAGAAGCAATACAGGAAAAACTGAATGAAGACAATAAAGCTGATCCAGATGGAAATCCTATCGCTAGAAGGTTAAATAATCCTTGCATTTGATATAGCGGCTTTTCACGTTGTTGTTGACATCTCAAAGCACTTTCCCAAATTTTACTGTCAAGCATAGTGATTGTTTATTTGTTGGCAAACGAGTAGCCATTTTGTGCATAGCAATGTTCCACAAATTGTGGCCTTGCTTTTTTTTAGAAAAAGTGATTTTTGTTTACTCTCCCCTTTTGACTTGTGGGCTATAATTGATATTGAGGTACAGTTCGCTGGGTGCCAGGATCTTTCAGTATCTCTCCCAAGCAATTATTCTGTGTGTGAGCCTTGAGTATTATTAGGGTTTAATAATAATCCTGGCATTTAATATTGCATCTTATCACATCAGCAAAATATCTTGAAGGGCTTCAAAGAATGTTACTATAAAAGTATAGTGACTATTTTGTAGATGAACACAGTAGCCAATTTGTGCACAGCAAATTCCTACAAACATCCATGAAGTAAATGACTAATTTTATCCATCCACTGCCAGGATTATAGTGGTTTTATTGAAATTAAGATTTTTTTATTCAAGCATTCTTACTCCCATCAATGTGGGCCAAGAAAGTCATTTTATTCATGTGTACAGTATATAGAACTAACTCTCTACTGCTGTTCACTCTGCAAGCTAAGCATCTAACAGGTAGGGTGGTCCTAGCTGTTCAACTAGTGGAATACTTGCTGGACTCTGCTCTCAATGCCAAGCTATGTGGTTTCAGCTGGTTAAACTCAATGCACTTGCTGGGATCATCAGCCTTGGCTCTTGTCTACCTGTGCCTCATACACTATAGAATTGGGTGAGCAGGGTGTGACCCACTGGGGAGAAGAATGTACGTTCCAATCCAGAGACTGGGACATTTCCACACATAGGTGTATGCATATGTAGAACTTGTGATAGCTGGCTGAATGTACAGTACTTACAAGAGAGCTGTAGCTCCACCTATCAGTCATCTGTGGAATTATTCCGGATGTGGATCAGGATATCTCATGCTTTTTCATTCCATTTCAACATTTCTAGTGAGTCCAAAGAAGACTTTTCCAGTGATGAAGATTCACATAAACGACATGAATCCACAGAGAGGGATGTAAAACTTGCAGCGAATGCCACTCCTGGAGGGTCCATCTCCTACAAGAAATCTCTGAGATTGTCCTCCAATCAAATTGTAAGCGGCATTTCTTCAATTATGTATTTAACCACAAATGTGCAAGGATGTCTGAATCACAATAACTATATACAGCAACAACAACAAAATTGCATTTGTATAGTGCCTTTCACGTTGGGAGGATGTCTCAAGGTGTTGGACAGTCAGTGTTTCAGACCTGAGCTGGGGATCCAGGTAGTGGAGGGCAGTGGGGGATGGAGGGTGATCGAAAGCACAGTCGAAGAAGAGGATCTTGAGATGGGTCATAAGGGAGGGGGTGAGGCAGAGGGACTGCGGGATGGAGTTCCAGAGGGTGGGGGCAGAGTGGCTGAAGGCCCACCTACCAATGGTGGGACGGGTGAGGTGAAGAATATGAAGCAGGCCGGAGCCCGGAGGGAGCGAGCAGGTTGGTAGGGGGTTAGGAGGTCGCAGAGGTAGGGGGGGGTACGAGGCCATGGAGGGCTTTGAAGGTGAGGACCAGGATCTTGAACTGTATCCTTTGTGAGATGGGAAGCCAGGAAATACATAAATAATTATAGTTTTCGCATTTACTGTTTGCATTCCACAGGCCAGCCTTAAGTTGAAAGAGGGGCCAAATGATGCAGTGTTCAGCATAACAACTCAGTATCAAGGTACCTGTCGCTGTGAAGGAACAATCTACCTCTGGAACTGGGATGATAAAGTCATCATATCCGATATTGATGGAACCATAACCAAGTATGTTTTGTATATGGAAGCATTCATGTTAGTACCAATTTACTCTGATAATAGCTCTGATGAGTGACATGCAGGTAGAACAGTGAAGTGAAAAGATCTGACCATGGAGGAGCCCTCTTATAATGCAGTGGTTGGGATCCATGTAACAAGAGACATGAGAGGTGGTTTCACTCCGTATATGAGCAGATGGCCGGCTCATTCCTTGCCCAGCAACTTTTCCCACACTAAAGAAAGGCCATCTTCCAGGTCATCAGTCACTTTCTGTGTTTATCGTATGTGCGTTGTGGCTTTGGCGGCAACTTGACAACGTAGAAGTCGTTTTTGTGTGAGAGCTGGCCAGCACGTGGAAAGTGAACAGGCTAGAAATTGAATCAATATTATTATAAAATCCTCACTATAAAGAAGTGCATTCTAGCAGGCTGCACTGTATATGGAAAACTGTTTGCACAAAGTTTCCTTTTTTATGTTAACATCTTTTGATTTTCTAAAATGCAATTTCATTCTTTTTGGTATGTTGCTTAAATCTAAAGGAGTTTGTATTCTTTGCTGCTGTTTACTCCAGAGGACAAAAACAATGCACCTTTTGGTATGGGAAGGCTGAGTACTCAGCCTATCCATATGCACTGGTAATGTAGGTTCCTGACTCCGTAGCTGCACAGGACCTTTCCCACAGATTAGGGGTGAATGTCGCAATTCATGATATTTAAAAAGTTAACATTGTGTGGTGTATGATGTATGCTTCCTCCCTGCACTGTAACTTGGTCACTGGGAACTCAGGCCACCATAGAAACTGTTGCATTAAGAGCCATTGATATCATAAATGTGACATTAAGAGCCAGTAATACTCAAATCTCTATATTGGTGCTGTTTATTTAATAGAAAAATGTAGTTGTGTTTTGGATTTATTTAAAAATAGATCTAGATAATAAAAGATGGACTGTATTAATATTCTGCCATTTGTGTGTTGCATTAACCTTTGTTTTTTTTCTTGCAGGTCTGATGCCTTGGGGCAGATCCTTCCTCAGCTGGGCAAGGACTGGACACATCCAGGGATTGCTCAACTTTACCATAAAATACACGAGTACGTACCTCTGTTAGTCGAGTGTGAGCAAAGTAACAGTAGTAAGAATCGGGCAAGAAAGTGAGCCTGTCTGTACTGTCACTGGTTGATTTAGACATCCATGTAGGTTTGTTTTGCATTAACACCAGGCTTTGAACATGAAGTCCATTGACTCAACCATCCAGCTCCTTCTGTCCGTGAAGTCATTGTTTTCTTTTGGACTGTACTCCACCGATTCTGTTCTCTTGAAGGAAAGTTTGGATATTTACACTGGAACATTTTATCGTATAATAATCCTTGCATTTGATATAGCGCCTTATCACATCTTCGAGACATCTCAGAGTGCTTCACAGAATATACTGTAAAGTGAATTGACTGTATATTTTGTGAATGATGTGTGCCAGAAATTCATTAAGATGTCTGAATATTTAAGGACTTGCTAAAGATTCAGCCTTAGTTTGGAAGCTGTTTGCTCATTGTTCTTAAACAAACCAGTGGAAAATCAGCTTCCAAATTAAAATTGAAATGAAGAATCTTCCCAAATTCTGCACTTAAAATTTAGACTGACTTTTCATGTGAGAAATGTAGGCTTCTGGTTTCTAAAGATTAGATTTGCGAGCAAAACTAAAGCAATTTGTCAAGGAAAATACCAGCATATTGGTTCTCCCTTCAAATGTATAGCTTCAAACCCCAAAGCAAATGATGCGCAGTAAAGTACCCAAGTACAAGGTGATGCAACTTGATTATGTAATAGTATCTGAAATATTTACAGCTAATTTTTAGATGAAAAATCTTGTGCTAGTGAACAAATGTGATTTTCCCCCATTTGGTAAATTTCCATATTTTAGCCGCACTATCAAGGCAGAGAGAGTAGTTGAGAGAATGGATGAATCTGGAGTGCTATTTCCAAAGTCCTGCAAACAATACACACACTTGCATATGTGTTTTCCTGTTCCTTTAGGAAGGGAAAAGAAACTAACAAAAATAAACTAAACATTAGTTCCATGAAATATTCTGGACTGTAAACTATTCAAGGAACAGTGATCTTTGTTTATTTGGATTGCTTTTAAACAACCCGTCTTCAACAGTTAATTAATCCAGAAGAGATTGATATCACTGACGTGTTACCTACTCAATGATTTACCTCGAAGATGCTCATTATTCTCTGTGATGATTATTTAAAGGAATGGCTACAAGTTTCTCTACTGTTCAGCACGTGCCATTGGGATGGCAGACATGACGAGAGGATATTTACATTGGGTGAATGACAAGGGGACGATCCTTCCGCGAGGACCCTTGTTGCTGGCACCCAGCAGCCTCTTCTCAGCCTTTCATAGGTACGTCACAGGATTTTCAGCAGCTCTCTTTCTGGAAATCTATTTGCTGTACTACATTCTCTGCTCTTTGCAGCCAGTGTTCTTGGCTCTTCCTGTTGATTCTACATACAACTTTAAACCAAAGGTAAACCTCTACCCACAAAAATGTAAAATGTAATGTGTTTTACAGTGAACGTGTCATGTGTGCATTAGTTCATTTTATGCAGTTGTGTGTGTTTTTTGATAATGATTTTTGCCATTATTTACTTGGTCACAGGGAGGTAATCGAGAAGAAACCGGAAAAGTTCAAGATTGAATGTTTAAAGGACATCAAAAATCTATTTAATCCTTGCAACCAACCTTTCTATGCTGCTTTTGGGAACAGACCAAATGTAAGTTCACAACATCCCAATCTTTCTTCAAACTTTAAAATCTATGGAATACATTATAAATATATATTCCATGTTTTTAGATATATTATACAACATACAATATATGTATATGTAATATAATATATATGTAATATAATATGTATATGTAATATAATATATATACATGTGGAGATAAATAACTTTGGACTGAATGGGCCTGTCTCCATTCTTTGTAAATGCACTGGCTTCTCCAGGATGTGGAGTTTAATTCAATCCAAATTAATAAAATGATGCCTATATGTTTGGCCAGTCTCAACCTTGTTCATTATGACCGCGTTCACTTTACACAACTGTCTGTAAGGTGATACTGTTGTCACTGACCAAGACCACAAGAGTGGCTGAAACGTATTATTATTATAATAATAATTATTAATGTAAAATGCATGCAAACTGGAGAGTGCACGCTTTAAATTGATTTTACAGCTGACCCAATTCTGATGAATAAAACCCAGACTGCTTGGTTTTGATCACAAGTGGATTTTCAGCATTTTCTTTTATTTTAAAGGATGTTTATGCCTACAAAAAAGTAGGAGTCCCGGACTATAGAATCTTCACAGTAAATCCAAGAGGCGAACTGATACAGGAACAAACCAAAGGCAATAAATCTTCGTGAGTATTGTAATAGCCTTCAAGACGAATGTATAGTTCAAACATAGTATTGGCTCTTTGTTGTGTGGAGCATGTCATTCGAGAGTGACCATCTTAATTCTTTCCATCTTTAGGTACATTCGGCTGAGCGAACTTGTTGAGCATGTTTTCCCTTTGCTCAGTCAAGAACAGTGTTCTGCTTTCATTTACCCCGAGTACAGCTACTTCAACTATTGGCGAGATCCGCTCCCTGACATCAGGCTAGAAGAACTAGCCTAAATATTGCTGCTGGTCACACTCTTCGAAAGACTTTCCAGTGTTTATACAGTGTTTTTCAAGTTCGATTCAGGTATAGATTTCTAAAGATATATTCAGTTTATTTTAAGGACCAAGAATTCTATTGTGGTAACATTATGTTTAAAGTTAAGGTCACGCAGTTTAATACCAGCAGAATTCTCTCAGGAACATAGTTTAGTCCTCATTTTATCTATTCATTACATCAGAAAGGAAAGTCCCTCTTTTTGATCCACTGTGTCCTTATGTAAGAATGTTGCACATCGTGTCTAACCCACTGCACTCACCACCATTGTTGCTACTTTCGAGAAAGGTTTTTGATCAAGTAGCTTGGATTACAGGGTTAAGTTGATGCTTTACAGCAGAGCTATATTAACTAATTTTTATACCCCGAAAAGTGGTGCCCAGAGACTGCTAAGTACAATGAAAGAAACCTGGAACTCAATGATATTCCACAACAGTTCCCAAGTTCATTTCACTTCTGGTTTCAGTGGGTACCGCTTCACCTCGCCCAACATAGAACGCAAGTTTTCACATTTTAATCAGCACTTTGAAAGCACGAATAGAATATGTGGCAGCAACGTTATAGAATATATCAGAGAAAAGTTTGACTTTTAGCTGAAGATTTGCAGCTGAATCTCTGCTCCAAAGGTATTTGGTCATACTCCCAAGTTTCTGCCACATACCCTTCGTGATAAAAGCCTTTGTTCTGTTGATGGGATTCACTCATGTTTGTCGGTCCTGCAACACGGAACACAGTAAGTGAAGAATTTTACTTTAGGGCATTGCACAATATTATTACAATAAGTTTGTTCTTTCTGTGAAAGATGTAAATTAGTGTGTTTATGAGAACACACCATATGAAAAGAGAATTAATCACTTTAAAATGGATGTATGTAAAGTACTGATCATAAGGAAGCTCCAGAAGTAATCATATTCTGTTACTTCAACTTGTCTTAAATAATAGCTTCAGTGCGCTTATCCTGGAGCTCTCGAGTGTTGTATTGTTTTGAAAAAAGAAGATAATGTTTTAGTTACCCTTGCCAAGACACTCGTGGGAACACAATTAAACATCCTATTGCTAAGGGTCTTTTTATGTTTTTGGAAGCACATTTTATAATAAAGTTTTAAATCTCATGTCATGTAGGATGATCTCAATATCCTCTTGATTTTTGGCGAGGATAGTAATTTAAATGCCTTTTCTTTGAATACTTCTCTTTTAACTCTGAAGAAAGAAATTGTACCATTGGTGACTTTTTATAATGTCATTTTGTGTATTTTCCCCCCCGAACCATGGTGATGTTGGGGTACAATTCTCCTGCTTCTTACTGAGTGAAGTTGTATTGGCATTAAGTTGAGATTTGGCAACTTTTCATCATGTACATTAGTTTAAGGAAACCACAGCTAAACTGCTTGTTGAAATGCAGTAATGACAAAGTTTCAGTAAACATCAGTATTTTTTGTTGGATTGTGAAGCCATCATATTGTATTTAACACAATCTACAATAACATCCATGTGTGTGTGTGTACACACTATTCATGTTGTAGGAGATTTCTTCTTAAAACCATGGAATTAAAGACAAAATACAAAACTTTTTTTGTTTTTATGGCATACTTTTAATTTGTATTTGTATAATACTTTTTGCATGAAATGAATGTCTTGAAGCACTGAATAAAATTGATTAGAAATAAAATTGAATGTTATACAGAAGAAAAACACAGCAACTAATCTGCATCACCAACCATATGACTAATGGATGAATTTTAAATTGGAGGTAAACCCAGTTAACAGGAGACCTTAAGTTCTTTTGATGGTAAAGGAACCGGTTCAGCACTAGGTCACAAAAATGGAAGATTACTTATTTGCATCCCAGTCTCTACTAAATTAGCTGATCTCAACCTCAGTGTGTGTTGTGAGTGCTACAGTATCCCGCAGCTACTGAGCAGTGGGGGCAAGACAGCCAGGCTTCAGCTCATGTTTTCTATCCAATGACTTTGTTGAAAATTGTGAACACTGGATGATGAGATTGGGCTTAACTGTGATGCCCTGCATTGCTGACCTCATTATCTGGACGCACACATTATGAATGTGGCATTGGGTGAAGTATGCATGAATGGAGCTCTTCTTTTCCTCAATCCACAATAGTCTGAGCAGGTGGCTTCTCATGGCTTGGGACGCCCTCTCATAATGTAACAGAGGTGATCCATTCATTTGATATTTGCGCCTTTCACGTTGGGAGAATGTCTCAACGCACTTCACAGTGTAGTGACTGTTTTGTAGGTGAATGGTGTTAGTATTGCACCAAAGTGGGGTTTTTTTTATCTCAGGATGTGGTCGATGCTGGCAGGATTGGCTTCCCTGAGAAGGTAGTGGTGAGTACCAACACAAGGGCTCAGACCCACTCCAGCCCTTGTGGTGTTGGTACTCCCACAAATGGTGTTGGGTAGGGAATACCAGGAATTGGACCCAGTGACTAAAGGAATGGGACTAAAACGTCCAGGATAGTGAGTGACTTGGAGGTTGTTTTCCCGTGATCCCACAGTTCTGATTGATAAAGGTCGCAGAGGTGGAAGCTGTTGAAGCAAGGTTGGTGGGTTGCTAAATACATTATTGAATTTCATTTACTATTGTATTTATGTTGAAACATCTCAAAGTGCTTCACAAGAGCTTTCTGTAAACTGTTATGACTGCTTGGTAAGCAAATGCTGTAGGTAATTTGTGCACAGTGATGTCGACTAACAGCCATGAAACGAATGACCAATTTTGTCCAAGGAATTGTTGGCCAAGACACTGAGACAAACTTTTTCTTTGAACAATACCTCAGACCCTTTAATAGCCACTTAACCAAGCGATTAGGATCTTGGTTTAATGTCTGATCTGAAGAGCAGCACCGCCCACAATGCAGTTCATCCCAGCGCTGTTTTCATAGAATTAAACAGTACAGAAGGAGGCCATGTCTGTGCTGGCTCTCTGAAAAGAGCTATCTAATTCGGTCCTATTCCCCCGCGCTCTCCCCATAGCCCTGCAAACGTGTCCTCGCCTATTGGGAGTATCATTCTAGACCATGAGCTCAATTTCACAATATGGAAAATTGAAGTTATGGCTGTGAAGGTTTTACATACCTTGGGGTTTTGTTTACCCATTAGCACAGAATGCAGGATCCACCAGTGTTTCTCAATCCATTTTATTTTGATATTTGAACATTTCATATGTCATTTAACATTTAATTAGACTTCATGTGTCCATCATTCAGGAACAATTGCAAATAATGAATTTGATTGAATAACTAGGGTTTCTATTTAAAAAATATCTACATTTTATTGATGTCTGAATTACAATATTGAGTCAACATAAATTCAATAATAAGAACAATAACTTGCATTTGAAAGAACGTGTTTTTATACTGATTTTATCATGTAAAACTCTAACCGTTTGCAAGTAACTGATGTCAAGTGTAATGATTGCTTTTGTGGACAAAATAACAGCAGCCATTTTAACAATAATTTCCTCCCAAGAGGTGAACAGTCATTTAATCTAGAGTATTGTTGGTTTGGATACTGGGACCTTTTTCAAATAGTATTGTAGGTTTCTTTACATCTACCTGAGCAGGCAGACTGGATCTTGGTTTGTCTTATCAAAAAAGGGTTCCTCTGTCAATGCAACATTTTGATCAGTACACCACTGGATTGTCGGCCCAGAATACAAGCTCAAAATTTATGGTAGGGCTTTGAGCCAGAGACGCGTGATACCAACTGAACTAAATTGACAAAAGCATAAGATACAGAAAAAACACACGTTCAAAATAAACCGTAAATGACAATTAAGTCCACAAGATGCGTTACATTCTTTGATACATCTATTTTCATAGTTGAATCTGAATGTTTTCCAATTATTTGGTGGAAGCAATTCTTTGACATCAGGATAGTCAAATAAACTCTGCTTTTCTTAAACAGTGCAATAAGTTACAGTACACATCCATGCTTAAAAGATCCATTCTACAGTGTTGTCATTCTCTGAGCGCTCTGTAAGCGCTCTGAGACGCCGTCTGACGTGGAGGGCGCTACATAAATCCAAGTTGTTGTTGTCTTCAGTTCGAGAATTTGATACCGAATCAAAATTCTATGAAATTACCATCCCACTTGTTTTTTTGTGTGTGAGATTATTGCGCTCACAGAGAATGACATTCAAATTGGCATGGACAATGGGGTTTATTTTCTTGAACTGTTTCTATAAAGCCAAGATAATCTTCAATGGCGTTTGCTCTCTATATCTGTACATTGATAATTTAGCAATATAAAAGTTTATATTGATTTCTATAACTTTTTATAAGTCGATTCAACTAAATATTTCTTCAATGGTTTTCTCACAGCAAAACTAGTACTAACATCTCCCTTCCATCACTGTCCCTTTCTCTGCTGATGCTGACTTGCACTCCAGTCTAATTCTGCAGCTGCTAACTGCCCTTCAATACCTCGCTTGAGTGGCATTGTTCATGAGTGAGTCAAGACCGTCATTAGACCATTCACCCACTGGGGGCACTGTAGCCAAGCCTGACTGGGTACTTTAAGACATCCATAGTTTTCAGTACCGACTCTGAGCTGTGATTAGGTCATGGAATTGTGGTTTATCTTGAATGGTTTTGATGTGTTTTTAATTTTCAAAGCCTCCCAATTTATATTCCCATCAATTTATGACCTATCTTGACATGGATTCTTTTTGCAAAACTCAATAAAATAACAATAGTACAGGACAGTAATACTGGAAGATTTATTTAAAGTTATATGACACAGAGTATGAACATGGAACTCAGATAGATCCCACAGTGCCCCAATGTCAAACCGCTCATGATGATTTCTCCACTGTCTCCCAGCAGTGGATTAGGTTTCCACCAAGCAAGAGTTGCAAAGCTCATTACACATTCTATATCTGTGCAAAGGGGTGGACTGGTACTGAGCTTATGTGCTGTTGACTTGACTGAGCATTGGTCACAGGGTCTGTCTTTTAAATGATCTATAGTTATCAATTGGGAAGTGAACTTCCATGAATAATTTGGTAATATCAATTCTGTTCTCCTTGTCACTGCTGTGTGATGTAAATGCCACTCAATGCTGACAAGGATGCCTGCAAGAGGCAAGAAACCACATATAGCTCTTCTGATGACTTAGTAAATAATAATAATAATCCTTGCATTTGCCATAGCACCTTATCACATCATTGATACATCTCAAAGTGCTTCATAGGATATATCGTAAAAAAGGATTAACCATATTTTGTGGACGAAACACAGCAACCAGTTGCACACAGCAATGTCCCACCAACAGCCATGGAGTTAATGATAAATTTTATTTGGGCGATTGTTGTCCAGGACATCAGGAGAAACTCCCTTCTCTTTTCAATGAGTGCCATGGGATCTTTAACATCCACCTGAACGAGCAAATGGGACCTCAGCTTAACGTCTCATCAGTAGGATGGATGAATGCATTGCTGTTGTAGCACTAAGCCATTAATGAGTTGGGCTATCAAGGAGTAAGATACTGCAGATCAAAATCTGTATTAAGAGAACTTATCTGGGAGATGTACAGTAGACCTCTCTGTGTCTTTACTGTCTTTTTTAAATTTTGCTTAAGTCAGGAAATTCCATCACCTCCCTTTCAGGAAGCTCTGAAAATGTGAGTCAGTTTTCATACTATTCTAAAATCCATTTAAATTAATCATGGAACTTTGGCACATGCTTTTTTTGTCCCTTCAATGTACTTTACACCAAATATAAACTCCTGCCATAGAAACCATGTGAATTAATTGTTAGTGTGCAGAATAAGGGCGGAATGGACATCACAGTTCAAGTACGGACCTGATGGGCTTCTGCATCATCATTCCTCATTCAACACAAAGCCAATTTATATTTATGCAGTGCCTTTCACATTGGGAGGATGTCTTCACACATCTGGTTGGGCACCTGAGCAGCTGGGGAGGGGGTGGTGGGGGTGGAGATAAGTGAAGGCATAGTCCAAGATGTAGGTCTAAGGTGGGCTTTAAAACTGGGGAAGGAGGGTGTGAGTTGAAGGGGTTCTGGGATGGAGTTCTAGAGAGAGGGGCAGGCAGGCTAGTATTTGCACTGTTGTGGGAACGGCTGAGTCAGTAGGGTTGCAGAGGTCGCAGAGATGGAGTGAGGATGTGGATGGATTTTGTATTTGATATGTGGGGGAACCAATGGAGCTGAGCAAGGATCGTAGTAATTGGCTCAAGCTTGGTACGAGAAAGGACACAGGCTATAGAGGTCTAGAGGGTCTGCAACTTGCAGAGGAAGAAGCTGGGGAGTCTGGCAAAGCAGGGCATTAGAATAATGATGAAGTCTGGACATGATGAAAGCATTAATGAGCATCGCTGCAGCCAGCGGGAGAGGTAGTGTAAGAACCTGTGAAATGTGGTTGAGGTAAGGTGAAGCCAAGTAAGTGAAAGACAGTTGGGAGTCAATCAAGACAACAAGATTCTGCCTCAATTCTGTGAGGTGAAGTGAGTATCCATGCAGGTCAAAGTGATCAGAACCTAAGGTGAGAAAGTGCTCTCAGGAGCCAAGCAAAAGAACCTTATTAACGTTCAACTACAGAAAGCTAGAGTTCACCCAGGACTTGATGTAGGCCACTTTCAACTCCCAAGTTTGATGGCATCCACATACATTTGAAAGTGGCTCCCATGCCTGCGTATGTCACCGAGTGAGAGCATATAGATGGCGAAAAAGAGAGGAGCAAGGATAAAGCACCGAGGAATGTTGCATGTAACTTTCAGAGGAGAAGCTATTGGATATAATAAATGCAACAATATTTATTTCACCTTGTGCATGAGACTGCAGGTAATGAATGTGGAAATCCGTTCCTTGCAGTGAATCATACAGATAACTTTCATTGAGCTGTGGAGGGGATGAAAGCCATTGAAATCTGGCCAGCAAACCCAGCATTGGTGCCAGCCTTTGCAAGTACCATTTTCACTGAGTACAGTAGTAAGATTTAAGAATTAACTTAGCTCAAGTACATCATTATAAAAAATAAACTTATCGCAGCGCAGGCAGGTAAGCCCAAAGTTTTGGCTCAATCCTTTTTTTTATTTAAATGTGCCATATTTGACATTGCTATGAAGAATATCTATCCGCTTTAGAATTAGGAAAATATTAAAAGGGTCATCTTTATTCAAATAAGAGAGATATGGGAGCATTCCTGCTCACAACTATCACTTGGATTTTAGCTGTGAGGTTGTCGATAAAATTGGTGCTCAGTTGCCCGTGTGAAATGCTGTCTTTATTAACTACTTCCTGTCTACCAGTGGAGGTGTTTTGCTCCAACATTTTTTTTAAACAAAGTTTATTTGCGGAACAAGTAGAACTGTGACAGTATTTTAAAACTAAGAAAGAACCTGGATTTTTGGTGGGGGCTCTTTACACTATAGGAAGCACTTCCAATGTTAGACTGGAGGAGTGAGTACAAATGATTCCTCCACCCAACCTTCGAAAGAGCAATTAGTTTATGGCTCTCTAGTTCTCTCAAGTCAGCGCAGTGAATGCGAGTCAATTACCTACAGTTTCTGACACCAGGAGCTGGGCTGACCTAACTGCTGTTTAAGCAGTTAAAACATTAAGCTGTAATATCTTCTTAAAAAATATATACCACTTGAGCAGATACAATATATTTGGACATGGAATACTAAACAGTAAGTCATATTTGCATCTCATCCATAATTTTAAATAGTTGAAGTTGACCTTAACAAAGTTGAACTGATATTTATAAAATAAGCATTTTCTTTGTCAACAATGAATGCACAGATGATAAATGGAAACCCAAAGTTCACCCCTCCCCCTCCCACTCCCCTTCCCCCCAAAATGCTGCATCACGTTTGCCTGTCTTTCCTGTTGGCTAGCTGCGAGAGGGTGTTTCATACAGGAGAGTCCCACTGAACGTTGAATACATGTCGTGCGTGTCCACCAGTTTACCATCGATCAGCACAACACTCACTTCATCTCCAGCTTTCAGGTTCAGGATCAGGTTGAAGGTACCTATCCCTCCACAGATCTGCTGGCCCATAAAGGGCTTGTGAAATTCCAGCACTTCAACCTGGTAGCCAGATGTGTCCATATGAATGATACCTTCGTTGGACACAGACAGGAACGCTTCAACTCGCTCTTCCCTCTGAGGAGCCAGGACTGCGGTGATGAGATACTGTCCCGCAAACGGAGCCGTAAATATACCTAGAATCAAAACAGCCAGCTGTGTTAGTACATGACGGTAATCTGTCTTAAAGAGACGAGTTATCGGTTTTACAAACTGCCCTTCAATAGTGCTGCACCTAACTAAAGATGCCATCACATTCGTATGCTGTTGAAACTGTGAGTGCTCCCTGTCTATATCCTGTCACTTATCACTGTGATGATTTCTAACTGGATTCTTTAATAAGGATTCTGAGATTGAAAATTGTTTCGCCAACTTGCAGGAGCTGTGTTACTACCTTCAGAGCAGAGTTCCCACTAGTCAGCGCAACATACTTCGAGTTTGCTTATTAAGTTCTCCTGTAAAATATTGCTGCATATTAGATCCCGATGTCTCATACTTTAATCCTCAAATTCTCTCTTAAAGATGTTGATTCACACTGAGTAAATGTTCCCCAGGTGCAGGAAGCTTTCTATCAACTCATACAACTGTCCATTCTTAATATGTGAGTCTGGACTGTGGGTTTTGTTGGATTATTGGACCATGGGGTGCGAGCGAGGAGGGGGTAAATCACAGGCAAACTTGCCCTGACCTCATCCAACATTCGCACTCACTTTTCATCATACATAGGGAGTTATATAGAGTGCTACAGCACGGAAATAAACCAGTGGATCCAATTCATCAATGCCGGTATTTACACTGTACACAAATTCTCTCCCCTGCTTTTGCCTAAATCCTTCTATTCTCTTCTCCCTCATGTATGTATCTAGTTTTCTCTTAAAAATCATTGAGCAGAAGGAGAATATTTTATGCTATTTTTAAATGGATTAATATGAAAGCGCATCTGCACATTTTCAGGCTGCTTATCCACTGCTCCAGCATATCTATTGCAGAGGGCACATGATAGCAAGAGAAGAGATATTTCGCTGATCAGTTAAGTAAGAAGAGCATTTGGAGTCCTTTAAGACAAGGAGTGACCTAACCATCTGTGCCCTAACTGTTGTGAATTCGCATAATTGCCCTGTCAACTGAGAACAAATCTCCATCTATTTTAAAAGGAAAAATATTCATCATGTTTTTTTCAAACTAGGTAGCGCAATTATAAATAAAGGTCAGAATGAAATATGTTGACTTTGTTACCAGACCGGAAACAGGAAACTATACAATGGACACATTTACTGCTGATTCACCCTGTATATGATACTCAAACCAATAGGAAGCTATCAGTGTTTGTATGGGTGCTCAACAGGAAGCTGTTCACCAGGCAGCAACATTTCCAATCAAAAACTAAATTAAAAGTAAAACCCGAATTCCTCACTTAATTCCTTACTGAATGGTAAAAGTCTATCCGAAATCATGAATTTGTATCTGCACACCTGTGATAGGGCAAGTACTCAAAGTTATTTTCTGCATGGTTCAGGCTGTTTGCTGCCTGCCATCTAAAATGCTTCCCTCGGGTTTTGTAATGTCAAGAATGGAACGTCTAATGAACTCTTAGAAGCTTGGTCTGGTTCACTGCATACACTGAGTTCAGAAGTGTTGGAAGAGTAGCAGGGATATGGACAGACACTGTTCTGAGCTTATGGCTCCAGGCAAATAAGAGTATTTAGCAAAGAATCCAGTTTGTGACTGAGCCCATCACAAAAGTGCAATGTGGAAAAATGTTTGAATTGTAACCTGTCTTTGTATTGTAGTGGCCTCCATCATTGACCAGAACTTTGTTGAATACAATCACTCCTACATTCCCAGGAAAAGGTTTTTCAGTCAGTCCCACAGAAAAGGACACATGTTTCCTTCTGCTAGCAGACCTTTCTGAAAAATAAAATAGCTTACATCACACAAAACACTGGTAAACACACTCATACGTGTTCATATGACAGACCACACTGCACAGTAATAAAGTAATAATACTTGCATTTGATAAACACATTTTTCACAGGAGGATGTCTCACAGCACTCCACAGGATTTACTGTAAAGTGCAGTGGCACTATATGTTTGTAGGTGAAAACAGCAGCTAATTTGCACACAGCAATGTCCCACAAACAGCCATGACCAATTTTATTTGGAGGATTGTTAACCCGGATATGGGAGAAACTCCCTTCTCTTTTCCAATAGTGCCATGGGATCTTTAGTGTCCATCTGAGCAGGCAGAGGTGCCCCCAGTTTATCTGAAGAGCGGCACCTCACTCAATGCTGCCTTACCTCACTTGCAGTATCAGCCTCAACTGTAAGTTCAAAGTGGGGCTTGAACCCACAACCGTCTGACTTAGAGGCAGTAGTGCTGCCATCTGAGCCAGGCTACAACATATCTCTGTATTCCACTCTGATGCTGTCCGTCCATTGTTACTATCATGTTATGATTATGTAAGTAATTCCCATAAATCAAAAATATTATTACAGAACATTTTACCATGTATAATTCAACAACATATAATTCTAAAACAGACATCAATACAAATATAAAAATCAAACTGATTACTCGTTTGATCAATGTTATTTAAATGTTAACAAAATTCAACAGTCAAGAAGGAATTTCGACTGGAGAATCAGGTACAATCTGGAGTATTTCTTAATGGTTTGCTTAAATAAGTTAAGGATCACTTGAAGAAATACTGAAAATTTTACCCAATTGTTTCAAAGTTAGCATTGTCTGAAAATCCTGAAAACATTGTCTGGCTAAAACTCCACCTCGCCAGACTAATAGGGGAGAACTAGTCCAGCAAACTGGAATTTCCGGCTAATTACATTACTGGTACTGATATTTACTGGCTCTTTTTTTCCAGTCTTAATTTAGAAGCCAGTTTTCCACAGTACACAAAAAGGAAGGCAGCTTCCAAAATAAGGCTGGATTTAAGAATTTTTGAAAATTCTGTATCGTCTTAAGTTTTCAGACAATGGTCTTAAGGCTAAAACCTTGAGATTTTTTTTAGCCCCAGGTGACTTTTAAACATACCTGTAATTCTTGGGTTTCCCAAAGGCATATTTCCTGTAAAAAATAAAAATATTTTAAATCTTAAGTTTTATAAAATAAAATCTCTACACTGTATTATAATTCTCCTACCACTGAGAACACCATTCAGCAGTCAGGAACCTTATCATCAGCCAGCAAGCGAGGTAAATGTAGTATTGCCAAGGGCTCAAATACAATTGTGTCTGTCTTGAGTTTTTGAACCAATGATGCAATGGAACCAAAGCCTTAAGTTGATATTAGGCTGTTGTACTCAGCACAGATTTATAGAAAAGAATTTGCATTTTTGTAACACTTTATCATGTTAAAATACCTCTAAGTGGTTCAACAAAAACAACAACTTGATTTATATAGCATTCTTCATTACTGTCAAGTGCAGTGACTGTTTTATGAGGCAAACTTGTTTTTATAATCTTTTTGGTCACTTGGCTGTCTCACACACGTGGAAACCCATCACTGTGCTTAAGAGTTTCTAAACCAGACTGAGAGTTCCACATATTTGGAGAAAATCAGAAAAATGCAGAATACTGATTTTTACCAATTAATATTGGAAACCAGTAAGTTTAAATATAACCATTATAATTTAAAATTAACCAGTTATCCACAGCTGTGAATGTGACTGAACTGATAGGCAATCAAATTATTTAGAATAAACAGGGAATAATGGATATCAGTTAAGCCAGCAAATTGGTAGCCACATTACCCTACAAAATACAGTCACTACATTTTACAGTAAATCCTGTGAAGCACTTTAGATGTCCTCCTGACATGAAAGGGGTTGTAGCAAATGCAAGAATTAATGCTATAGTGGACTCTTGATTTTTTTTATTATTTGGTGAGCAAGGTTAGGCCTACTCACCCCCATTAACCGAATTAGACATTCCACTTTAGGAACCACGGGTTGTCCCCACAGACGAGCCCCAATCCCTCCCAAACTCTTCTAAGCCCCAAATTGTCAAAGAACCATGTGGACCCGAACCATGTCTTCACAACCCCCCAAACAAGTCAGGTGACCAGGTGGCCTCTCTGACAAGACAAGCCTGGCCTGAGCCTAGTGACCATGTGCTGAGTGAGCTCTGAGTTCCAGTATCTCCACTTTCTCTTTGTGAGGGCAGATCAAACTCCTCAGGTGGGAAGTACTACAATACCGATCCCAACCAACAGAGGGCTGAAAGCATAGCTGTAGCCAGGAGCTCAAATCTTCCCATATCCAGTTATGGATGAGATTCGGTCATGGTAATCAACACAAGCTATTCGCAACAGGAGATGAACTTTTTCCAGCATTGCTAGCTCAAGGAGTAACTAATACGAATAGAAACTACACTTGATCTTAGCCAAAATGCCAAGAAGCAATCTTTTGATGGCATCATAAATCAACATGATCCACTGAGTTGCCTTGAACTGACATAAATCTTTGATATTTCAACTTACACTTTATCACACCACCTTTCATGTGGGATGAACGTCTCCAAATACATTTTTCAGACAGCCAGGTGTCTGATACATGCGAAATCCATCACCATGCTATTTCACAGAGATGAGGGAGGGAATCCATGAACAGGCAGGAAAGGAGAGACAGTGAAGATCTATGTGGTTTTAGTATAAACTCTTTGAAGTACCCTGAAAAACATTCTGGGGTCCCCAATCCTTGGTTGTTGTCAATTTGCATCTGATACTTTCTGGGATTAAGGAAGCAGGGGGTGTCTCTCTGGGAAGACAATGCAGACTCCATTCCCAGCAAACAGAAAAGTGAGTGATTCAAGTTTTCTTCACATTCTGCCTGCAATGATAACCCCGTACAGTCTCATAAACTCAGAAGGAATAAAAAGAAACCAGTTGAGCTCTTTATTCTTGGCTCCAGGCCCTCTCCATTCACAGAAGGATATTGAGACCTACTACTCTATAACCTTTGTTTAATGACCTCAAGGGCCTGTAACAAAAGCCCACACGCAGAATGTACAATACTAACAGGATAAATAAAGGCAGGAAGTGCTGGAAACAAACTGGCAAGTAAAAGAGAAAGACAAGATTAATGACAGTTCATCAAAAATGCGTTTCAGCATTTTACGATTTGTTTCCAATTCCCAATTGGAATCATCTAGTTTTACTTTTTATCTTTATGTCACTCGCCAAGACTTGAAAGGTCAGAAGATACTTACAACTATCACCAAAAATCTAGCAACCGATTATCCAATATATCTTATGATTTTTTTAGAATTTGCACTGACCTTTGGAAAATAGCTTAAGGGCAGTTTGGTTCCCTCACATGGACAAATGAAGGAGGTAGCTGAGAGAAGCATCTCACAGAGCTATTTTGATGAAGACCTTGTTTGATAGAAAATGCCCTTGACTGAAGAGGATTGTATAACAAATCGCTAAACGTAATTCAAATATAAATAATCCTTATAGTCCTTGCATTTGATATCAGCCTTGACCAGTTGTTGAAACATCTTAAAGATCTTCAGAGAATTTACTGTAATGTGAGGTGACTGTATTTGTAGGTAAATGCAACAGCCAATTTGCACATGGCAATTTCCCACAAACAGCCATGAAGTGAGTGATCAATTTTATCTGAGGGTTTGTTGACCTGGAAACCAGGAGAAACTTCATTTGCTTTTCAAATTGTGTAATATTTTGAGCTGCTGATTGTTCCCATAAACAGGTCAATTACCCTTTCACTACTTACCAAGTGAGTTCAGACCTCCCGTGGGAGCAGTGAGCAAATGGGGAGGATGCTGTTAAAATTATGCATCATGTTTCCTCACCCTTAGTTTGGAGGCAATGAGATTCATGTGAAGAGAGTATGTTTCACCAAGGAGGCCAAGGAGTTTATCCTCCAACATCAGACGACACAAAGGAAAATGTAATGACATTTGGGGTCAAAAATGTGACATTTGCAACTGGATTCACACAGAGATTCCCAGATACCGATTCTGCCAGTAACCAAAAATATAACCACAGTGACCATTGCTCATATCAGAGCAGAGATCTCGCAATTCCAGCCAGTGTCAGCCTGGCTCAGCTGGCAGCAATCTTTGAGTTAGAAAGTTGTGGGTTCAAGCCCCATGACGAGAGTTTGAACTCATAGTCTAGACATCCCAATGTGGTGATGAGGGTGTGCTGCATTCTTGAAGGTGTCAGGCTTCGGATGAAACATGACACTGAGATCCCGTCTGCCTGATCAGAAGGACACAGAAGATTCCATGATACTACTCAAAATAAGAGTTTTTCCTGGTGTCCTAGACAATAACCCCCAGCTAAAATTGGCCATTCACTTCATTGGCTGTTGTGGGACATTTATGTGTGCAAATTTCTGCTGTGACTGCTACAAATACTCAGTCACTACACTTTTACAGTAAAAATCGTGTGAAGGGCTTTGAGACGTCTCACCAATGTGTTGAGGCACTAAATCAAATGCAAGGATCATCACTATTATTATAATTTGGCCGGACTCATTTTGAAATACTGATGAGATCCAATGTTTAGGAATCAATGGGAATTTTCTGATTTTGACTGCAGTTGAACATGTAATTGGGACTTCCTCTGGGTATAGAGACACACACCCTTTTTTTCACCCTCTCGTTGCTCTCCTCTCCTAAAAGTATTGGGTAAACTTTAAATGGCTCCACTGGCACCAACCGCCCTATAGTATCTCACCTAAATCATTATTGTTCATTCACACACTTTAATAATACGCATTGGCTGACAATTTAGCTAAGTGAGGCATCAGGAACCCAAGGCTGATCCTATCCTCACCAGACATGCACATGTCTTTTCCAAAACAGGAAACCGGATAGCGATCAAAAGTTTAAAGAAAACCTCTAGCGGATATTTTTCCTCCTTGTGACCCAGGGACACTGACAATAGAGAACTTTCAAGGATTTCTCTTTATAAACAACTAATGAAGAGATCACAGGTTTTAGCAACTAATGCATGACAAACCCCATTGTGACTGACTTTCTCTATTTCCCCTGTGGCTGAGACCAGCTAACTCAACATATACTGGGATCAAAGATCAGAAGAGAGCTACGGAAGAAGAAGACCCCTTAGCCCATTTGATCTCATCCTTATAGAATCCCCCACCATCTTCCCATTACAACTTCAAGCTGTTTATTAATTGAGTCCAGCGTCCTGTCCTCTTGCACCCTTCCTGGTAACCCCATCCAGCTGTTAACCACCCTCTGTGTAAAGAGGGTACATTTCCTTTTCATGAGGCTCACTTTCACAATAGTTGCGTACTTGCCATCAGGGGAGCTAGTGATACAGTGTTCCATTAACAGTGGAATAAGCTGCAGCAGTCAAGGATATATTGCAATGGGGCTAAAACGTATTGACAGTGGCACATTTTCCTCAGATGCTTTTGTGGTAACTTAGCAATGCCCGGAAACATCTCTGGAAACTTGTAGACTGGTTGGAAAATATCGGGAAAAGAGAATCTTAAAACTATTTTGGCTGCTTTAAAAACATCTGGTAGAAGGCGTGGCCACACGTGTGGTGCACCTTTATCACCTTTTAAATCTCCTTTTATAGATGGCCTCAAATGCTCTGGGTTTCAGCTTCCTCCAGACAGATCTAAATAACCTTTCAATTTAAAATGTTAACATATCCTGTTGTCTGGGTATTTCTGCTCTGCAGCCACACTGCCGTCTGTTCTCCAGCTGGTTTATCTGATATAAGTTCATGTTGGTGCAGGCATTTTTTTTCAATTTTGAATCAATCAAATCAGCATGTTTGTCGTAGCAACACAAAGAATCACAATGTTGTTACAGGACAAGTATGTTCCAGGGCTAGAAAATTGGGCATGCAACCAGGTCCTCAAACAGCAGCCTCTGATTAGGCTGCACTGAGTGGTACATTTCACGCTTCTCAACCATGCCACTAGGGGGTGCTCCACATCACAGTGAGGACAAATCAGCGGACCAGTCCTTTTCTGGAGAAGCCCGAGTCTTGTCTGATGGCTACAGAGATGCCTGGATCACAACTGTTTGGTGGGTGAGTTGCTTGCATGCCAGTACTCTGTCCCTTGAGCACTCCAATCTATACCTCCAGGGCCCAGACCTCCCAGCAACATGCATAATAAACCTGAATGTATTCAATCAAATAGCGTATAAGTATAAGTATTATTGCCTATTGGCGCAAAAAGATTTTTCTGTTTACGAATGTGGGAATCGAGTCAATCTTCAGTAGCGATCTCAGTGGTTTGGTTCCTGAGCCAGACAGGTCTGCACTGCTAAATTTCGGACAAATCAGCTCGGCTCATCGGCAGGACTTGAAGGGGCAGACTTCTCCCTGGGGGTTAGGGATTCTTCCCACTTAGCTCCTGATGATAACCCTGCAAGCCAAAGGCCTAAATGATAGGGTGGTTCTAGCTGGACAAGCAGCAGGAAGCTTGCCAAAGCACTTCACAAAATTTCTGTAAAGTGCAGTGACTGTAAATTTGAGTACCAAAATTTCTTTTTAATTGTGTCTTCGGTCACCTTCCCACCTTTCTACCTTCCCTCACCCGTCCCTCATGCTCGGGTCCCAACCCCTTACTGTTCAGCGCTCTGGGACGTCCTCCCGACGTGAAAGGCACTCTATAAATGTCATTTTGTTGTTGTTCTCACATGTGGCTAAACACACCCTGAAGTATTATCGGAAAGCCCTAACTGGTGCAGTGTAAAGAGATGTATGTGATCTGTCTTCCTGCAGATGGAGCTCTTACAATGATTGCTCAGTTAGACCAGTTCTTGAAAAGAGGTCATCGCTGGACAATACATTGAATATAAGGAGGTTTGTGCAATTAATGTAGCTTTACTTACCAGGTGCCCCTGCATCACCTTTCATATACATCACACTTTCTCCATTGGTACCATGTGGTTGGCCAGAAGTTGATGTTCTCATTAATCTGCCTTTCAGTTGTTTTCCGTTTGTTCCATGAGGTTTGCCATTATTTCCTGGTACCATTGATCCTGGTGGACCTGCGTAACCCACCTCCTGGAAGACCCCATTGTGAATTCCAGTCATGGTAGGAAGTCTTGGTGGCTTGACATGGCTTGGACTTCCAGCGTGGCCTCTTTCCACTGGTTAGAAACAGAATCTCATGTCAGTAACCAAATGCTACATTGCATTAAAGTGATCACATTATTCTTTGACACTATCTTATTTCAGTGCACACTCTGGCAATGTGTTGGGGGCTGTATATAATTTTACCAATCCCAATTCTAGATTAGATTATTTGAATAAATAAGTTTTAGAGGCCGTCCCTGCTATGAAAGGAGACCCTGCCAATAAACATAGACCTGCATTGAAGCAATAAACTGCTTAATAAGCCTAATAACCTAGAATATTCAATAGGCGATGAGTCCCATGGGAGGCATGAGATTTAATTCCCAAAGGATTGAATTTGATGGTGGAAACCTCTACATGCTTTGGCTAAACATTGAGAACATCTTATCAGCAGACAGGAAGTGAAAAGAATATTATAACCGTAACTAAGTGTTTCTGTGACAAATTTGTAAATCTGTAATCCTGGATCTTATTTACTTTAAAATGGTAAGTGAATAAATAAACAGATCAAGTGCAGTTTTGACTACACTGGGTAACATATCTCAATCCAGCAAGAGATCATATTGAGATGGTTGCAATGTCATTATCAGTTTCGGACCTGGTGCGTACATTGTCTTTTGATTATAGGAGCTAAAAGGTGCTATATCAAATACATTATTTTACATATTATGGCATTGACAGGATTATGCACTGTATAAAATAAGAATTATTGCCATTGTTTATTCACTAATTCTTAACTCCGATTACACTTATAATATACCCAGCAACAGGGATGGTGTCACTACCAAGAACTACCAACAAAGTAGAAATGCATTGGCGAGCAGTGCTAACCAATGGATAAAAGCAAGATGTGTTTTTACTTGTATTATAACTACAGCACCAACACCTCAAGCACTCCTGAATACTCATTATTTAATCACATTCTATGATATTATCTATTGCAATGGAGATAATCCTCCAACTTTAAAGCAAGTTGAGTCACATCATTCAGCAGCTCACAAATTGTTTATGCCCAGAGTTGCATCGTTGAGATTTAAGTACCTCTGGGATGAATCTAGAAGTGTAACTTACTTTTAAATCAGCTCGGATTCAGATACATAAGGAAACCTATTGCTATGCTTGAGTGTTTCCAGCTCCATTTATTAACAGGGATTACATTGGGTTTATAGAAATATAGGATGAATGAAGGACCAAGAGAAAACCATTGAGCTTGCTCCACTATTTTATTAGAATATGGCAGCTCTTTATATTTTTAACCCCGTTTACATACTTTTTCTTCAAATCGCTTAGTTCCCTCACTTTCCATTGATCTCTCTTTAAAGCACCTTGATTGATGCTGCATTTATGATTTTCTGGTGTAGAAAATTCCACCATTTCCAAACCATATGTGTGAAGAAATGATTTCTGGTTTCACTTTAGCTCAGCTAAAAATCAAAGGCAGTCATTCATTCTCTACATTGTCAGTTTCCTTTATTATTTTAAACACCTCAATCAGATCACCCCCTTAACCTCCTAGCAAATGTTTAATTTTAATCCTTGCATTCAACATAGCACTTTATCACATCATCAAAACATCTCAAAGCACTTCGCAGCAGTGTCCCACAGCAAATATAACCCAAATTTAACCATCAGAATTAAGTCAACTTGGTTCATATTATATTCTCTAGAGTGAGGAGTTTAAGAGATCAGTGTCTACTTGCCAGTTCTGGAGAATACAATCTCTCTCTTGGAGAAGATTGGTTGGCAAATGTAGTAATATTAATAACCCCAAAGTGGGTGTTGTGATATTGCTAGAATTGAAGGAGTTAAAACCATGCAGCTTGCTGGCATGAGACACTGGCCAGCTTTTACTACTTGTCCAGGTAGGACAATATTATTGATCAGGACCTTGGCTGAGTTAACCATAGCCCAATTGAATGTCTAGTAACATGTCTATCCTTCCAAATCCAACTGGATGATTCAGGGCAGGCTAGTTAATGATCAATAATAATGTCCTGGAGTTTGCTTTTTTCAGGTCCTGAATCGATTAATGGACAACACAGAGTTGCCTGGCTGAACTCTTCAGAGGATCCAGTGTAAAGTTCAGTGACAGTCTATTTTCTAGGAGAGAGCACCCACAGAAGAAGAGAAGGAAAAAAGTTAAAACACATCCAGGAAAGGAAGGCAGAAAGATTTTTAAAAAAACTACTATATTAGATTCCAAATTTGAGAAATTCAACAAATTCAGAGGATTAAGCATACACAAATTATTTTTGAATGATTTAAAGTGACAGGCTTAGCGGTCAAAAAACGGCTAAACCTGCATTCAAGTTGTCTGATCAGGCAAGAAAACATTCGCTGGTCATATTCTAGGCTACATGCACAGTCTCAGCTGCAGTAACAACTGTCTCATTATCTCCCACTGAGTAAATTACTTCAAGGTGCCAACAACCATTCAATATTGTGGCTGAGTTCAGAGGCCAGCTAACATTATGGTCAGCCTTTGCTTACAGCCAGCTGTGCAATGTGGCCAATGCCAGAAATTACGACAGACCACACTTTTTATTTTAAATTAGCACCCATTTCCACACTGGCTTTCCTCAGAAACAGTGACATCATTATGGATCGAGATTTTCTATTATACAGACACAAACAAGCTGGAATATGGATTCATCCTATTGAGATAAAACTGTGCTGGGCGGTTAGAATCGGATTTGTTTTGCTGGGTGGACTCTGCCAAACCCACGATACAAATGAAGCTGAAGTGAATTCAGAAAATGGTAGGCTGGTTTACAATACCAGCTTTGTAAGGTTCGGTGTTTATACTGGCTTCTTGAGGCTGTCCTGCGCTCCAATGCCTAGTGAAATTCAAGCTTCCTTTACTGCACAAACTCTGCAAATTCACTCCACGCCAGAGTCAGCTATGGGCCTGAACCACTTGCACAAAACCAACAGAAGTGGTCTTCTACTGTTATCAGGAACGGAAATTCCAATAACGTGAAAATGAATGATCATTATTATTTATCACACTAACTGTCACATTTTTCACTGCCTGTGTGTGGGGGGGGAAGAAGGGGAACATAGGAATTCAGAGCAGGAGTAGGCCATTCGGCCCCTCGAGCCTGCCCCACCATTCAATAAGATCATGGCTGATCTAACCTAACTCCATCTGCCCACCTTATCCCCATATCCCTTAATCCCTCTATCCTTAAGAAACCTATCAATCTTAGTCTTGAATATGTTAGATTCTCCTACCAGGGGAAACAGTCTCATACTGTCTATTCTGTCAAGCCCCGTAAGAATCTTATATGTTTGTATAAGATCACCCTTAATTCTTCTATATTCTAGAGAATATAGGCCTAGTTTACTCAACCTATCCTCATAGATCAACCCCTTCATCCCAGGAACTAACCTAGTGAACCTACGCTGTACCCCCTCTAAGGTGAGTATGTTGTTTCTTAAATAAGGAGACCAAAACTGCACACAATATTCTAGGTGCGGTCTCACCAAGGCCCTACACAGTTGCAGCAAGACTTCCCTACTCTTGTATTTTAACTCTTTTGCAATAAATGCCAACATGCCTTCCTCGTTGCTTGAGGGGGAAAGACGGGGTGGGGGGTGGAGAAAGGGAGAGGATCAATCAATTCAGACCCAGTGCAGGTTAACTAATTATTGGACTAACAGTGAGATCTCCCTTACTTTACTAACTATAATCCCATTATTTTACCCACTGTTTGAGAAAAAATAAAATGACATTTCTTCACTCCATTTCCTGTGCACGGCAGATATATACCCAATGCCTAGGAAATGACATTAATGGCGACCTGATGACACAAACATTGGTCCAGTTTTTCACACTTTGCTTCTATCGCAACCTCTGAGCTATCGGACCCAAAAGAGCACTCTGGAATAGGTTCACTTAGAAATACTGTCAAATGTAGTGACTATTTTTGCAGGCAATTGCAGAAGCCGTATTAGTCAAAATCCCCCAAACAATCCTCAGATTAAATGGAGTCACCACCTTTTGTAAATTAATGGTGGGTTCTGTCTCTGATGTATATATGCAATGTCACAAAGATCATCATTTTATAGCTGTGTGTTACTGTGGATTTCTCTCCTATGAATGTGGCGTAGACACTCACAGCTCCCATTTTATCAGAGGGCAAGGAACCAGAGTTGAAGTAATAAGTTGTTTAAACAGGGCAGCTGAAGTGATTCCAAGCCAGAGGTTAGTCAGGCCGGTGGGTGATGGCATCACAAGTATGCAACAAACACATTCCAATGTGAACAAAACAGATCATCTAGGAACTGTCACTGTAAATAGATTTCTTTGAGGAACTATGGAAAAAGTGTGAAAGTGCTTGATACGTGCTTCATATTTTTAGATGCTTCTGTCTCCATGACCCCCAACCCCCAATGAATGAACATCTGTCAGACATCAAGTCCTATAATAATAATCCTTGCATTTGATGTAGTACCTTATCATGTCTTCGAGACGTCTCAAAGCGCTTCACAGAATAATAATAATAATCCTTACATTTGATATAGTGCTTTTCACGTTGGGACGTCCCAAAGCGCTTCACAGAACACACTGTAAAGTGAATTGACTGTATATTTTGTGGGCAAAACGCAGCAGCCAACTGTGCACAGCAGTGTCCCACAAACAGTCGTGGATTGAAATAACCAATTTATTATTTTTTTTTGGAAGGAATTATTACCCCTGGAAAAGCGATCTGCCAATCGACTAACAACTGGGTTCCTATTTACTTTAGGTAAACATAGGCGTGGAGTAAGGAAACTTGCCCAGTGTTTCGCCCTGCTGGGAATCGAACCCAGATCTCTTGTTTCCGAGGCGAGGGTTATAACCACTGAGCTACAAGTCCTGGATGAGTTCTAACTTTCTACAGCTCAATGTCGATAAGACTGAGGCTATTCTGTTTGACTCTCGTCAATGTTTGTTCACCTCAGACACTGACCACATCAATCTGCACGGGTGGTTACGCCATCTCATGAAACTGGTGAGGAACATTGGTGTATTCGACCCAAACTATCCTTTAACAGCTGCATCTAGTCTCTCACACACTCAGCAAGGTTGCCTACTTCCACCACTACCCCTACCCCTCAGTGTGCTGAGATCCTCATCCATGCCTTCATCAATTCTAGGCTTGATTACTCTAATGTCCTGCTCACAAGACTCCCCAGCTATTTTCTATACAAGCTGTAGACCATGCAGAACTTTCCCACATTAGGCTCTGTGAGACCATCATCCCAATAATCACTTGGCTCCACAAGCTCCCCAACCTCAGCAGATTGATGTCTACGATTGTCGTAGTCATTGTTGAATGTCTTCATGACCTAGGTACACCCTATCACTGTAAGAGTGTACAGTTCAAGATCCTGGTCCTCACCTTCAAAGCCCTCCATGGTCTTGCTTCTCCCTACCTCTGTGACCTCCTAACCCCCTACCATCCTGCCCGCTCCCTCCGCTCAGAGGGCTCTGTCCTGCTTCACATCCCCGCCTTGCCCACCCCACCGTTGGCGGGTGGGCCTTCTGCCACTCTGCCCCCACCTTGCCTCCTTCAAGACCCATCGCAAGACCCTCCTCTTTGACTGTGCTTTCGATCACCCTGCTTCCCCCCCCCCCATCCTCCACCCTCCAGAAGCCTGACCACCAGCTCAGGTCCGAAACACTAACTGTCCAGCGCCTTGGGAAGTCCTCCTAACGTAAAAGGCGCTATACAAATGTAATTTTGTTGTTGTTTTAAGCACCTATAACCTCATGTTCCATCTGCTCCTCCCGCTCAGTAAACATTCTCCGGCTTCACATCTCCTTTTTACACTACCTCACCATAGGTTGGCAAGTTTTCCTTCACCATCCTGAGTCCTTTCACCTTGTTCCCTTCCTCTCCAGTTTCAAAACCTGCTTTAAGATCTATCACTTTAATCGTGCTTTCAGGCTCCCAGGCCGTTCTGTGAAGCATTTTGAGATATCAAATTGTGGAGTCCTGTAGCTCAGTGGTTAGAGCACTCGCTTTGCAAGTGGGAGACCTGAGTTCAATTCCAGGCAGGTCAGGGCGAAACCTTGGGCAAGTTTCCTTACTCCACATGCCTAATAATAATCCCTCCAAAAACAATAATAAATTGGTCATTTTCAATCTACGACTGTTTGTGGGACATTGCTGTGCGCAATTGGCTGCCGCGTTCGCCCACAAATATACAGTCAATTCACTTTACAGTGCGTTCTGTGAAGCGCTTTGGGACGTCTTCCCGACGTGAAAAGCGTTATATCAAATGCAAGGATTATTATTATTATTATTATCAGCCCGATGTGAACAACACCATAGAAATATAAATTGTGGTTTCCTCTCAGATCAGGTGAGAGAATCTGGGCACAGTTTCTCTGATCGCTGTCAATCACTGCTGTGAGATCAGGGGCAGAAGTTCCTATGCTGTAGGAGATGATCGTGTTTACGGTTGTATTTAGCTTCCCTTGAAGTCAGAACACCCCAGCATCATGAGTGTTACACGCAGTGGCCATGAATAAGAGCTGGCAGAACATAATGACAGAAAAGCTCAAGAGGCACAATCACACAACCATTTGGCTGTAAAATAAGTCTTCTACTCCCAGAGCGACAATCTTATGATCTGATCATTCCACCAGATGTACAGATGATCTAATGAATTAGTTCCATGTAATGCAATCTTATTCATTTGTGTTGAACCACTCTCACTCTCCCACATAAAACTCCTATTATCTCATTACTCCCAAGAGTTTTTATTGACTGCATTCTCTGCAGCCAGTTTCCTCTATGTTTTTACACTGATCCAATCCCTCTGGGTGTGTGATTTCATTCAAATACATGTTAAAGATCCCATAGCAGTATTGGAAAAGAGAAGGGAGTTTCTCCTGTTATTCTGGCCAACAATCCCCCAGATAAATTGGTCATTCATGGCTATTTATGTTGTGTGTAGAGACAGCAGTGTTTAGTTACAAAAATATTCAGTGCATGTGACAGTAATTATCAAGAAATGTTCCATGTCTTTGACGTTAGAGATGCTATAAAAAATGTATGTTTTTCTTTAGCCCATCACTAGAATGATTAAATGGATAAACTTGTAATTACACGCCTACAAAAATACAGTAACTAGAGTGAATCCTGTTCCCAAGCTTTGAGATGTCCCCCAAAAGTGAAAAAACTACAAGAAGTTTACATTTGTATAAGTGTCTATCATTTCAGGAGAATATCCCAAGGCACCGGACAGTGCAGGGTTTGCACTCTATTAAACGCAAGTTTTTTAAAAATTAAATTACAGCACAGGAGAAGGCCATTCAGCCCATCAAACATGATCCTCTGGAAATTTTAATTCACCAATCCCTTCACATTTGATGTGAAAATTACTTGTCTACTTTTGAATTCTACTAATGTGTTTACAAAAGCGTTTACTTTGCCCTGGCCATCAGACCAGGTCAGAGAGCAGGGCCCCTAGCTGCACAGTGATTTACGACTGTTTGTTTATTGGGTGCTTTGCAGGTGGCTGAATGTGAAGTGAGAATTCTACAAGCAAACAAGAACAATTTTCAGTGCGTCACAAATTTCACTTATCGATGAAAGTAAGTGCCAGCTCACACAAACATTTTTCTAACAGCAACGAGTGTCAAGTTGATCATCCATTATGTCAACAAATCATCTGTGTGATAACACTTAACTGATGGAGGTTTATCTGTATATATTTCTGGACTGCTTTTATCTAGATATATGTATAATAATAGTTCTATCACTTCAATTTTTACTCAGTACGATAATCAAATAATCCTTACATTTCATATTGCTCCTTTCACGTCAGTAGGCCATCGCAAAGTGTTTCACAGGATTTATTGTGAAGTGCAGTGAGGTGTATATTTGTAGGCAAATGCAACAATGAATTTGCTCACATTAACATGCCAGAAACAGCCATGAAGTGAATGACCAATTTTATTTGGGCGATTGTTGGCCAGAACACCAGGAGAAACTCCCTATATAGGGTATATACGTGTAAGTTGTTGTTGTTATTGTATCTGAAAGACAATTTAGCTTAACATCTCATCTGAAAGATAGCACCTTCAGCAATGCAGCACTGCAGTGGAGTATGAGCCTGGAGCACACGAGTTCAGAGTTCCATTGGAAATGATTAGCAATAAAAAGAGAAAGTGATTGAATAAATACATGTAATATTTATAAAATAATAATTCTTGCATTTGATACAACACCTATAACATCAAAATATCTCAAAGCATTCATTCTACAGGTAATCACAATAAAGTGAAGCGACTGTGTATTTGTAAGCAAACATAGTAGTCAATGATTAGTTTATCTGGAGAATTGTTGGCCAGCACTCAAGGAAAAATTCCCTTCTATTTTTGAAAAGTGTTGTGGATCTTCACCATTCAGTTCAACAGACAGATGGGCCTTTGTTTAACATTTCATCAAAAGGATAGTACCTCTGACAGTATTACTCACTCCCAGCAATAGAGGATCAGCCTAGACTATATGATCTATGAGTTTTCAATCCACAACCATCTGACCCAGGGACAAGAGTGATAATAACTGAGCCAGGTTGACAACTTTAACTAATTCAGAATGAATGTGGAACTGAGTTAGACAAGTAATTGCTAAATGAAACCCACACAGCTAGATCATTCTTCAGCAAAGCAGAGAAGCCTAGATTTTGAAGGAATATAAGCAGGGAACAGAATGTAACTAAGATCAATGAGTCTTACCTGGGAGAGGCTGAACTTTAAGTTCATCTTCAATGCTAGCAGCGGCTTTAGCGACCTGACTGTGGAATTGATGAACAGAATTCTTCAGCACGACAATATCTTTCGAGTTTGACCTGACTGTTTCATTCATCTGACGCACACAGTTCCAAAGGCTGCTGACATGTCTGTTCAGACCGTCCTTAATCCGCTGGAGGCTACCAGAGATACCGTCCAGCTTACTGCACATATTTTCAATGTGTACCAGCCTGTTGTCAACACCTGAGACTTCTCTCTGGATCCCCTGGGTACTGTCCTTACATTTAGTCATGTCATTAGCTATCTTACTAGACAATTGTTCCATTTGTTCCTTCACCCCAGCTAACTGGCTGCTATTCTGCTTCAGCCGGAACTCTAGATTTTTGACCATTTCTTGAAGTTCGTATATCCTCCCCAGGAGCTCATTTTCGTTCTTCTTCAATGTAGAATTGACATTTGCGAGTGCTTGAGTACGCTTGTCTAGAGCGTGCAGCCGCATTTTTACAGACTGCTCCACAGTGTTTGTAAGCGAGCTGAGTTTGCCTTCCATCACTTCTAAGTCTTCTTCATTTTTTTGTGCCTTCCTCAGACCCTCGTGGACTGTGCTGTTCAGAGATTTTAGCAGAATGGAGTTGGCTTCAGTTTTAACCAGTAAGTCCTCATAGTCGTTTCTGCAGATTTCCATATCGCTTCTGATGGTCTCCAACTCATTCGTTGGTAAGGAACATCCAGTGAGACACAAGTTTTCTATCTTCTGCAACTTGCTCTCAAGATGCTCCATCCCATTCTTGATCCAATCATTGTAAGTCCGCTCATTTTGGAAGGACTGTGGCACTTCACTAGCTACTGCTCTAGGTAAAGAGGAATTGCTAGCCGGGACCAACTCATTATTCGCCAGTAACCTTAGTTTCCTGTCCATCAATTCCTTTACATTGTCAATTTCAGTTGTAATACGTTCTTTCAGAGTGTCCTCAATGTAAAAGCAATGCTCCTCAGCATTCTTCTCTGTTACATTTATCCTGGAATCTATCTCCTCTAACCTCTCACCAAATAAGTCCTCCAAAGTATCGGCAGTGAATCGTTTGACTTCATTATCCAACCTGGCATTCAATACTCTGTTGGCATCTGCGATTCTGTGGACCCTTCGATCCATGTTGCTCACTTGCTGTCTTAAGGTGTTTATAGAAGCGCAGCAGCTTGACTTGCTAGGTGATTCTTGTATGAGGGTCCTGAGGTCGTGGATCTCCTTTCTCAATGCAATCTCCTTTTCATCGAGCAATTCCTCCACTTTCTCACAGTTTGACACATTTTCTTCACATTGCTCTTTCAATGACATCAGCTTGTACTCACAGGAATTCTTTAGGTCTGCAAATTTCATGTCAATGCCCATCATCATCTCATCTCTGAGAGCTTCAAATTTACTATCAATGTAAGCCTGATACAAGTCTCCACTGGGAAATGGAGAGCTGGTAGAAATAGGTGCTTGAGCCGCTTCCATCAGCTGTTTCAATTGTCCGTCATGTCCTGTCACCATTCCGTGCAGGTCATCCAGCATATCACTCTTGCTCTTTAATGTATCCTTAACCTCTGTAATTGTGGACATCATTTCACCCATCTTGAATGGATAAAAAGCCTCTTCTCTGTCTTGACTTCCTGGAACATGCACAGCCTCAACGCCAATGGCACTGCCAGGCAGTCGTAGATTGCTCAATAGCGACACAAACATTTTACTGGCATCTTCCTGGACGTCGTGTCTCAGAGTGTCACTCATTCCTGTTACTGAAGCTTGAAGTTTTTCCAGCACCTGGTTAAGGCGCTGGACCTCATATTCCAGCTGTTGAACTTTCTGTCCTTGTCCCTCTGTGGATGAACTTTCCTGTTCTTGGCTGTCGGTCCTGTCCTTGGGTCCTGGTTAAAACATGCATTAATAATTACTATCACAGTATTGTATGCAGAAAACAATAAATAATCCTTGCATTTGACATAGTGCCCTTCACTTCAAGAGGCTGCTACAGCATTTCACAGGATTACTGTTATGACTGTATTTTGTAGGTGAACGCAATCACAAACAGCATGAAATGAATGCCAAATTTTATCTGGGGGATTGTTGTTAGCAAGTGCAAGGATTATTGTAAGAAACTCCCTTTTCAACAACAACAACTTGCATTTATATAGCACCATTCACACGGGGTAGCGTCCCGGAGAGCCCAGAGAAAGTGATTTCAAATAGTGACTTGAGATCTTTAATGCCAACCTAAACCTCTAGATAGGTCCTTAGTTTAATGTCTCGTTTGAAAGATGGCAAATCCATCAATGGAAAGTGGCCCTTTGTAGATTAATATGTTCAGAGATGGAGTGGGAGCCTGAGAAGGGTGAGGGATGTGTGGTGACAGTAGAAGGGTAATGACAAAAGGTGCAAATGGAGGTTTTTAGAAGGGTTTTGAAAGCGGATAAGCAATCCATATTGATAAGTTGAAATCCTGCCTTTTCATTATACGTTCAATATGATTATTAAATTGAATATGTTATATGTCGTAAATATACTACAGATATACTCTCTTGGCTACCTGCAGCATGAGTAGAGAAGTGGTACAAGAGGAGAAAAATGAAAGAGAAAATTAAAAATTGAAGAATGACGGTTTTAGAAAAAGAATGTAGCTACATGCAGAGTGACAAGCTTTTTGAGGAAGTCAGTGTGAAAAGAGCGGGAATGGCCAGAATTGTGATATTCAACAATTAATCCAAAAATCTCAATCTGGTTTAGTCTCAAATGTACACAATGTCTTATACGTCAAAGAGAAAGTGTTGAGACACTGTCAAATGGCTTGTGTCCCTCGATTTATGACCAACATAATGTGCTGCAGATGGATTCCTGTAAGTCTTTAAATGAGGATATCCTGGAGGAAGCCCCCCACGCTGGAAGATTATTTTTAAATTAAGACTATTTACCACAAAATACGCTGAATCTACCTAAAATATCTCAAAACCTAAAGGCAAGGTTACAGGTCACATGATTTGTCTTCTAGGTTACATCTCTGCCTCTCTGTAACTGCAAGCTAGCCTTGATAACTTGTCACGTTTCCAGGCTTAATCCCAAAGGTGCTGGTCACCACAATTCCTGTTCTGACTACAGTTCAGGTCACCACTATTTAAGAGGACAACACAGGCCTTAAACTGCAGGGGAGACAAACAAGGATTCTCTCCAGGTTTAGAGGAATGAGCTACGAGCGGCCTAGACAAACTTCAGTTTTGAAAGGAAATAACCTTATAGAGGTGTATACAATTTTAAATGGGATTGAAAGTCCAAGAACAAAACTACGATACACCAAGACAATGGAACAAGTGGACATAAGTTCAGAGTTACAAAGCGCAATTTCAGGACAGGTAATAAAAAAATTACAAATATTTTTAAAAAGCTTTGTGGAGGGATGGGCCTGGATAGAGTTTCTTTTAGCGATTTTTAACCCACTGCAGCCTGGTGTGAACGCAAGTGAAAGGAAACAATTGGCCATTGTCCGGGATTGAGTGAGAAATTAAATAACATCAAAACCAATTACATTAAATCCACTAAAACAATGTTGACAATCAGAACCAATTCCACTCAATGAAACAATAGGGTCTGTCTGTCTGTCTGTGTAAATACTATGGCACAGATCCAAACCATTAGTGAAGCAGTCATAGATATCAGTGAATAACAAGCCCTAAATTCAATACTCAGTAATTATAAAAAGAGTATAATTATTTAATATATTACCCTAATATATTTACAGGTATGATTTTAAATATGAAATTTAGTCATTCAGAAATATTAAATAATTTTATAAATATAATTGAAAAAAAGATTTGGTTGTAACTTTTGCTTTTTGCTGATATTTCTTCCTTCACTCATTGAATGTGCTGATTCTTTGTTGGAGTACAGTTCCACTGGAACTGAACATACTCTTGTGTCTCGTCCAATTGGCTATTCTTTATATGTGAGCTAGACAGTGAGTCCCTGGCAGGCTGACTGACTATTGGGAAAGGATACGGGATAGGGGGGAGGGAGCTGGCCAGCAAGCCAGATCCAGGGTGTCAATCTTAACCTCTCATAGGACTTCTGTCATTATAACTGAGCATCAGTCAATATCACTACAACCAACATCAACAAGAATTTCAGCCCTCAGGAGTAAGGAACGCTAAATGCATTCACCTCTCTGAACCCAATGACATTAAGACCAATTGTAGCTAAAATGAGCTAACGTGCAGGCATGGAATGAATGGAACCTGTGACCTTCTGGCCTGAATGATTTTGTGCTCTCCCTCTACCATCAGAGGGAGCCCTGATAATTGCTTTGAATCATGAATTAGAATTCATATGCAAATATTGGTTGTGGTTGAGAGTTTTAATGGTAAACAAATGATGCAATAGACAAAGTGATGAGAACTATGTTGTAAAGCTGAAGTCAAATGCTATCCTGTTACATTACTTGGCTGAAACGTTGACATTTTCTTTTAATATACAATCGAGGAAATAAGTTTAATAAGTGAAGAATAATACAGTCACCAGGGATGGTCAGTTCACTTAGTAGCAAACAAGATAAGACCCCTCAACAACTGGATCTACTTCTAAATTGTTATCTGGTTGCCAGTTGGCTGAAATAACACGACGTAGGGTTCAGTGAATAAAAACAGACTCCTTCAGAGGAAATCAACATGCCAGGAAAGTGAGTGTGTCTTCAACTTTTCAGTCATTGGTAAACTTGTAAATCGCGCAGAATAAATCATATCTGACACCTTAGAAAAAAGACAGCAAGGTAATAAAGGCAGAGGGGGTAGGGGCTGGTTAATGTCATGCTACCATTGATGCAAAGGTGGGAAGGTGCTTGGTAGAAAGAAAGAAATCTGTCTGTCAGTATCTTGAGTTCTGGGGAGAAATTCCACCCGGGTTTAAACTTAGGCTTTTTTTTTCTTTTAAGAGCATGCAAATTTCAGACAATTCGTAAGAATTCAGTCTTAATTTCCAAGCCAGTTTTCTGCACATCTCATTCTCCCCGTGGAATCTGTAATAGTCCTTAATTACTTTAATAGAAAATGAAAGGGCAGCAAGGGAAATCGATCAGTGAAGCATATCTAGCCTTTTTGTGTTTAATAAACACTGTCTGCAGAACTAGCGAGTGAAAGGAGGGATTGATATATGGAGACTCCAGTAAAATACTGTTAGGCTATCAGGTAGAGATTAAATTCCTTCACTCCTCACTGTCCACTTTGAGCAAACCCTAATTGTTTCCAACCTCATATTAGCTTTGTTCTTCTGAGATAATCTTTTCCTGCAGACTTCAGTTCAAAAGCAGCCTTCCTGTTTGTGCAACAGCATTAGTCTACAATTACCACATCAGTGCAATTGCCTGGTGGAACTCTAGCATAAGCTGATCTAAACTATCCACTACTTTATGAGGAATTCTAAATACAGAAACTTAAAGGCTTTATTCAGAGCACTTCATTATAATAATCCTTGCATTTGCAACTAATATAGCTCCTTATCACGTTGATGAGAGGTCGCAAGTGTTTCGCAGGAAATACTGTGAAGTGGATTGACTGTATATTTTGTGGGTGAAACACAGTAGCCAATTGCACACAGCAATATCCCACAAACAGCCATGGGGTGAGTGACCAATTTTACTGGGGGGATTTTTGGCCAGGAACCCAGGAGAAACTCCCGTTTTCTTGCCGAACAGTGCCATGGGATCTTTAATATCCTCCTGAACAGGCAGATGTAACATCTGATCCGAACAACAAGACCTCCGAAAAAGCAACAAATCCCCAGCACTGCATTGGAGTGTCATCTTAGACTATGTGATGTAAGTCTTAAAGTGGGACTTGAACCCACAACCTTCTGACTTGGAGGTGAAAGTGCTGCCACTAAACCAGGCTGACATAGGTTCATTCATAAGCATTTCATTAAACATCCATTAATGCAACTGCATTGAGAAGATGCTCCCAAAATTCTGGGATTGCAGCCCTGACTAACAACATGCTTTTCCCATCACTGCTCTGTAAGGGAAGTGGGCTTTACCCAATTAGAAAACCCGAAAGTCAACACTCATGACCTCCAATATTATAGTAGCTGCAAGCACTATGGAATTTGTACTTAGAGTACGCGCCTTGGGACGTCCTCCCGATGTGAAAGGCTCTATACACATGTAATCTTGTTGTTGTTGTTAGAGTAAGAGGAGTGAGTTTCATGGTGCTGTTACTGAGGACACACCAGTATCACTGAGCTGCTTCTTGTCAAAGCGGTTCTGTAAAGCAATGGGGTCATAAAATTGAGAACCATCTCTCTTCCCACCACAGTGACAAGTATGGTAATAATATAATAATAATCCTTGCATTTGATATAGAGCTTTTCATGTCTTCTCAACTTTTTCAAAGTGCTTCACAGAATAGACTGTAAAGTGACTTGAATGTATATTTATGGGAAAAATGTGGCAGCCAATTGCGCACAGCAGTGTCCCACAAATAGTCATGGATTGAAAATGACCAATTTATTATTGTTTTGTTTTTGGAGGGATTATTATTAGGCGTGTGGAATAAGGAAACTATTATTAGGTGTGTGGAGTAAGGAAACTAAGGAAACTGGAATAATAATGACAGGCAGAAAGAAAAACTTACTCAGGTTTCTTTGTCTAGGAGCAGTGGAAGACGAAGGATAAACTGCAGTCTGTGTGGAATGACCAGCCCTACAGTCTTCACCCTTAAAACCAGGGCAACATCTCCACTCCAGTTCAGTCACAACCTTGTATGCAACCTTATATGTCGGGCGCGTGTATCTGCTATTTAGAGGAGAGAGAAAGAAGAGTGTTTTAGTGTGAAAAGAAACCATGAAAAAACACCAAAGAACTTAAACCATTCCGTGCACAATGCAATTGGTCTGATCCTCGTAACCGCAGAAAACATGAGCTCCACTTTAAGTTAGTCAACATCTGGATTTACTTCCTTAAGGAGTTTTTAATCATTGTGGAAAGAATTGAGTTCAAATAATGTACATGAGTCAGGTTATAATCTGTGCCTGAGTCATTAAGCACGTACCAGGAGGTCGCACTGTAATAATAATAATAATCCTTGAATTTGATATAGCGCTTTTCACGTCTTCTAGATGTCTCAAAGCGCTTCACAGAATATACTGTAAAGTGAATTGACTGCATTTTTGTGGGCGAAACGCGGCAGCCAATTGTGCACAGCAGTGTCCCACAAACAGTCATGGATTGAAGTGACCAAATTACTATTGTTTTCTTGAGGGATTATTATCAGGCGTGTGGAGTAAGGAAAATTGCCCAAGGTTTCGCCTTGCCGAGAATCGAGTGCTCTAACCACTGAGCTATAGGACTGTGAGAACTACAGGATTCATCATTCTGAGTCATTTGATCATTTTGTCTGCATGAGTAAAAATGCTCAGCACTATGGAACCTCATCCCAGTAGAAGGAAAGCTCATTTGATCAGCGCACTCAGAATGATGAATCCTGTAGTTCTCACAGTCCTGTAGCTCAGTGGTTAGAGCACTCGATTCAACAATTCAACAGAACTTTTATTAAGCTTCTCATATATGAAAACAGCAGGAGCAGCGTATTCGATCAGAAACCCTAAAGAGCCAGAATGATCGGGTATAGGAAAGAAACCTAAATATCGTCCTTAGATTCATATCATTCCACAACCTCACCTCACACTACCTCTGTGACTTCCTCCAGCCCTACCTACCAGGCCATTCCCTCCCCTCAACAGAAACTTGCCTGCTTTGTGTCTCCCATCCAATCCACCCTACTATTGATCCTTCAGCTATTCTCTAGTATTTGGAACTCTATCCCAGGCTCCCTCCACTTCGTCCCCTGCCTCGTAAGTTTTAAAACCAACCTTAAGACTTACTTCTTTGACTATGCCTCCTGTCATCTTCCCTCACCTCCTCCCAGCCCAGGTGCCCACTCAGCTGTATGAACCACCTTGAGATGACCTCCAAATGTGAAAGGTGCTATATAATTGTAAATTGTGTTGCATTACATTCTCACACATTCTCATTTTAACTAGTCTTTCCTCACTGTGCAAGATTAAAAATAGTATTATTCCGACTTTTTAAAATTTACTTCATAATATAAAACACTGCAATTTTATATAGTTGTGGAATGTATGTGATACAACAGTGCAAAGCTGTTCAATATGTTCAAATTAATGCCTTTGCAGAGAACCCATTGAACATGCCAGCCACATGAAGCTCAGTCTCAAGCCAGGAACTCTTGGCAGACAGCGCTGTATCACTGGAAAGTGTTAGCTCACAAAATGAGGCTCACTCCTCCCCCTGACCACTCCTAGTAGAAAGAGCTCAGTGGGGCTGCCCTAGATATTTGCATGGATTTTTAACTGTATCAGTCCAGAAGATCACATCATGTTTTCCAGATTTCCAAGTTATGGGGTAAAAAATGGGGTTTGTGTTGTGATAGATATTCTGTAATAATAGTTGCCTTGTAACGTCTTTGAAACATCTTAAAGTGCGTCACAAGATATACTGTAAAGTGCAGTGATTGTGTATTTATAGGTGAACACAGCTGCCAAACTGCACACATCAATGTTCCCAAAACAGCTATGAAATAATGACCGATTTTATTTGAGCGATTATTGGCCAGAACACAAGAAAAAATCCCTTTCTCTTTGCGAATAGTGACATGTGATCTTAATAATAATAATAATAATCCTTGCATTTGATATAGCGCTTTTCACGTCGGGAGGACGTCCCAAAGCGCTTCACAGAACACACTGTAAAGTGAATTGACTGTATATTTGTGGGCGAACGCGGCAGCCAATTGCGCACAGCAATGTCCCACAAACAGTCGTAGATTGAAAATGACCAATTTAATTATTGTTTTTTTTTTTGGAGGGATTATTATTAGGCGTGTGGAGTAAGGAAACTTGCCCAAGGTTTCGCCCTGCCTGGAATTGAACTCAGGTCTCTCACTTGCAAAGCGAGTGCTCTAACCACTGAGCTACAGGACTCCACAACGTCTTCAACGTCCACCTGAATAGGCAGATGTCACCTCCGGCAATGCAGTGTTCCCCCAACACTCCAGTGGAGTGGCTGACTAGGCAATGAGCTCAAAGTCCTGAAGTGGGGCTTGAACCACAAAGTTCTGACTCAAAGGAGAATGCAAACCGCTGAGCCAGGCTGACGATAGCACCAGTGATAATTATCACTTGATAACGATCAGTGATAATCATTTTGATCACCGTGATAATATGGGAGTCTGTTCTTGGTACCACCCCAGTTGTGGGCAAATGTGTTTCCCCCCCATCCCTCTCCCCCAACTTCACCCAAATATCACTTGCTACACCCACTGATCAATAAAGGCAGCACATTTGAACTTCTTGCCACAGAGATCATGGCATCACAGGATCGTGGGCTGCTGGCTTAACTTCATTTAAAAGATTCTGTGAATTTCCCAAATCAGCGCTGAAATGATGCATTGCAGGATCAAAGGTAGGTGGGGGGTGGGTGGAGAGAAAAACTATTACCACATAGCTATGATCACCACATTTTTCACCCCAGGATTTCTAAAGCATGAGTAGATGAACCAATGCATCAAATGAAGGATGGGTAATTTAACAAAGTTCAGCACCTGAGTGGTGAACCACTGACCCATGGTGCAGGTATTTGCTAAAGTAAATCTCTTCCCTCAAGGTGATGAGTTTCTTATAATTAGCTGAAGGACACAAGGTGGGGGTGGTGGATGCGCAAACAAGTCAAAATTAAAAAGGACGTTCACTTACAGCAATTCCTTCAGCTGTCTGTTAATGACAGGGTTAACTCTGAGGGATTCTCTGAACCACTTAAACGATTCCACTCTCAGAGGGCCTGTTTCTGATGAAACCCAGTCTCATCAGTCAACAAAGTTGGATTTCTTTCAAGATCGAGATTGGTCATTTAAACATAAAAAGTAAAAGGTTGGCTTATATAGCAGGTATTATATAGCAACCTATTGTTTTAAAGGAGGGATATGTTGGATTTTGTTTTATGCTTATTTTCTGTCCAATTTTCTCACCTCTTCCTTTTTTTGTCACATGCCTGTCTGACCACATGGAAACCCATCACCATGCTTTATAGTATCCAAACCAGACCGAGAGCTCAAAATATGTATGTCACTCACACATAGAAATTTCCCGTGTCTGGAATGAAGTGTGCACTCTCCCTTAAGGGACATAGCCTTCAACTAGTCCAGAGAGTTTTAGGCATATTATGGTTAGAGTACTAACTTTGCAAGCGAGAGACCTGAGTTCAATTCCAGGCAGGGCGAAACCTTGGGCAAGTTTCCTTACTCCACACGCCTAATAATAATCCCTCCAAAAACCAAAAACAATAATAAAAAATTGGTCATTTTCAATCTACGACTGTTTGTGGGGCATTGCTGTGTGCAATTGGCTGCCGCGTTCGCCCACAAATATACAGTCAATTCACTTTACAGTGTATTCTGTGAAGCGCTTTGGGACGTCCTCCCGACGTGAAAAGCGCTATATCAAATTCAAGGATTATTATTATTATATACAGGCAGGGACCAAGGCTAGGGCACCCCAGAATGTGCATTGGAGTACTGCTGGAATTTAAAACCACATAACTTGCCATTGAGAGCACTGCCTGGCAAGCTTCCCACTGCTTGTCCAGCTAGGACCACCCTACCCATTAAGGCATTTGCTTGCAGGGTTAACAGAAGCTGAGTGGGAAGAATTCCTTCTCCCAGAGATTGGTCTGCCCTCAAAACCCTGCCTATGAGCCAGGCTGGCTGGTCTGTGGTCAATAATTTCCTGGAGTAATATGGATTTTTCTGGCTCAGGATCTGGACCAAGGCTGCTGTAGAGGGTTAACTCAATTCTGACATTCCATTGCAAAGCCCATCACATTGGAGACAGTCTCCCAGAGTGTCAGACTATGAGTCTCGAAGTCCCAATGGACCTACTGACTCACTGTGAATCAAGCTGACATTTATAAAATAGATTAAACAATAAAACAAACAAAATGTATAGTACAGTTGCTCATTGTTGACGAGGCATCAACTCAATAAGGTTTGCAAGATGCGCAAAATTAGCTGTTACATTTACACTTAGACTTACACTTACAAAATACTCAGTCACTACACTTTACAGTAAATTCTGTGAAGGGCTTTGCGATGTCCTCCTGACCTGAAAGATGCTTTATCAAATGCAAGAGTTGTTATTATTATAAGACAGAGTAAGATACACAGTGACACAGCTTGGGCGATTATCTAAAAGCCCTTGCTCTCGGCACTGTCATAGACAGAGAAACATTACAGCTGGAAAGCTGGACAAATTATTGTTCACTTTAGAGCACTCACTGAACTCAGCACATGGAGCTTAGTTTCCAGCCAAGAACTTTTGAACTTTTATCAGAAATTCTCTAACTGAAATATGAGTTGATTTCAAATGTCTTACTATAATCATCATGGCTTTTGTTGATACACAATCGAAATTTTTAAAAAAAGCAAGCATGAGGAATTCCTGAGAACAGCTGGCTAGACTCATGACGTTAGCACATGCTTTACAGAGAGATGAGTTTTATGTGCGCAGAATTACCTAAGAGACCTTTGTCTTTCACAAGGGGTTCAGAATGTTGTTGCTCATTGCAACCGGGCCTCAGTGTTATTTCAGGTGAGCATCACCATGAGGATCAGAAATGGGAACGTTTTGTCCATTTCACTTTGTGAAAGCCACATTTACCATTGCTTCACTGCAGTTATTCAGCCAGGAGGCTGAGGTTGCACTGTATGTGCGTTGCAATATGCAGAGCAGCAAGGCAGAGTTAAACCACACTTAAATGGTTCCAGTGTAAAAGCTATTGATTCTAATGAACCATCCGGACAGTTACCTATTTGCCTGGTGACCCCAGGTATTTGGACATAAGTGATAATAATAATAATAATCCTTGCATTTGGTATAATGCCTTTCACATCGGGAGCACGTCCCAAAGCGCTTCACAGGATTTTACTATGAAGTAGAGTGACTGTGTTTGTGGGAAAACACGGCAGCCAATTTGCACACAGCAGCGTCCCACAAACAGTCATGGAGTGAGTGACCAATATTTTTTTAAATGGAGGATGTTTGGTCAGGACACCCTTCTGTTTTCAAATAGTGCCATGGTATCTTTAACGTCCACCTAAACGGGCACACAGGATCTTGGTTTAACGTCTCGTCCGAAGGCTGGTACCTCCAACAAACAAACACCCCCCAGCACTGTACTGGAGTGTCAACTTAGACTATGTGATTTCAACTCCTAATGTGAGGCTTGAACCCACTCACAACCTTCTGACTCGGAGGAGAGAGTGCTACCACGGCACCAGGCTGATACACAGGTTAATCTATGGTATTATAGATTAGCCTGTTCCTGTCCTTTAAATCTTTCCATAGTCTAGATCTACCCTACCTCTGCAAGCTCTTCAAACTCTACCGACCAGACTATGCCCTTTGCTCAGCGGAAACTGGCCTACTTTATGTCCCCCCCCCACCCTATCTGCCTCAATATCACCGGGCAGGCTTTCAACCTATCTGCTCCCACCCTCTGGTACTCCATCCGGGCATCCCTCCAACTCGCTCTCTCCCTCATCTCATTCAAGATCCATCTCAAGACCTACATCTTTAATGGCCCTCTCAGTAATCACTCTCCTGCCTTCCCTCAACTCCCACCCCAACTTAGATGCCAAACCATTATTGTTAAGCACTTTGGGACATCCTCCCAAAGTTTTTTTTCCCCTTACTAGCTGAGGGGACACACAACCTTATACATCACAATCTGGGAATCAAACATAAAACAATCCTGATCTGCATTGTTCCTTTAATGCTGGGTAGTGACTTTAACAACTCACATAAGCGCTCTGGAATGCTACCCTGCGTGAGGGATGCTATGCAAATGCAAGTTGTTTTAATTCGCAGTTATTCAAATTCAGCCCTAGAATTTAACTGATTTCTAAATTAGAATCTCCCTTACATCAGTGAAGCCAAAAACAATAAAATATTATTCTGAGTGTAGCTCCAGTACCACATGTACGACACAGAATGACCCTCGACGCTGTAACATAGATCTTAAGATGCTTTCAGCAAATGCCAATGTCCTGAAACACATAGAAACCAGAGTATGACCCCTCGTGAGGTAGTCAGCTCAGGCCGTAAATAGAATTGAATGCATTTTTTCCCCCTTACTAGCTGAGTAAGTTACTTACTTACTAGATAATACAACACAATCTGGGAATCGAACATAAGAATATCCTGAACTGCATGGTTCCTTTAAAGCTGGTAGTAACTTCAACAAGTCGCATAAGCCGCCTCTCCTTTTGGTTTCTGCATCTTGCAATCGCAGGCAATGTCAACCAAGCATTCAAATCACAACCCGGAGAGGCACTGATCAGGGAAGGCAGCAAACTGCCCAGTGAGTGAGTGAGTGAGATCCCTTTGTGATTCACTCTCATGTTGAATGAGAGTCCCACCAAGTGCCAGGACTTTAAAACCTCCCTCCCTCTCCCTCAATGACTTTATTTAGTTAATGGCTCACATATCTTGAATACTATCCGCCTGAATATTTTTATAAACGAGTACCAAGATCTTAGTTTGAATTGCTGACTGACAAAGCCTGAGAAAGCTACATCTCAGACCAGATGGGGAAAGTGTAGATCTGAGATTTACAACCCAAACTGACAAGGGAAGTTACTCCAGATGTTTTACTCGTAAATTTGTAAGATCCTGTCACACACCACTCCTTTATCAGACAAAACAATGTGACACAAGACTTGTGGATTGGTTCCAGCAGTTATTTTAAAAGGCGCAACTTTTTTTTAAAACGTATAATAAAAGAAATAATTTTATTTCAACGACGTTCCTTGCTTGGCTCCAGCAATCATTTTAAAAGCTGTAACTTTTTTTTTTGAAATACATAAAAGAATTCATTTTTATTTCAACGGGTTTCTGGGATTGGCTCCATCAGTTATTTTAAGGGTGTCACTGTTTTTTTTTCCACACACAAAAAAAGTGGGATTAAAGGCAAAATACCCTGACGAGTGAGTGAGTGTGTGTGTGTGTTGTGTGTCTACTGTCTTTGGAGGTTCCCACAAGCTCATCCCAGTGAGAGAGGAGACACAGACCCACTGCTTGTGCAGTGCAGAGTTGCAGTCTGGATTAAATCCCCTTTTATTATCCTCCTCGTCCACATCCCAGGAATCAGGAGACTGGGCGGCTCTAATACTTACACCATGACTGGCGGACAGTTCATCTGATCCCAGGGACACGGCTGATACTCCGCTTTGGTGTAACTCTCTGTGCTGTCCACGACCGAGCAAGTCACGTTCTTGTGCACGACATAGGCACACAGATTCCTGCAGCAGGGAGGGAGGGAGAGAGGGATGGAGGGAGGGAGAGAGGGATGGAGGGAGGGAGAGAGGGAGAGAGGGAGGGAGGAGAGAGGAGGGAGGAGAGAGAGAGGAGAGAAAGAAAGAGGAATGGAGGGAGGGAGAGAGGGAGGGAGGGAGAGAGAGAGAGAGAGAGGGAGGGAGGGAGGGAGGGAGAGAGGGAGAGAAAGAAAGAGGGATGGAGGGAGAGATGGAGGGAGGGAGAGAGAGATGGAGGGAGGGAGAGAGAGATGGAGGGAGAGAGGGATGGAGGGAGAGAGGGAGGGAGAGAGAGATGGAGGGGGGGAGAGAGAGAGAGCCACAGATCAGCAGGGCAATGGTCAGGAGGGTGGGAATCCACTGATCGCTGTGGATAGTCACTGCACCTCTGACTATATAAAACTCTCACACTGAGCTTTTGTCACCAGAACAAGTTGACCTGTTAGTAAAGCCTGGAATAGACCGGTGCGACAGGGTCTGATCGAGCAGCACTAAACCAGGTTATGTGCATCGTTTAAACTATTTTATTATTTCAGGCTGCAACAGTCTGTCTGAGGTCCACTCACTCAACACGAATAGCTTCGAGCCACCAGTATACCAGGCGCTAAAGATCTTTCTCAATAAATGACTCTCTCGCCTTATTTCACCACCATACAACTTTTCAAAGTGTTTTTTTCTTCTTCTTCTTCTGAGTGCATATCACAACGGTTTGCAGGGCGGGGGGGGGGCAAGGAGGGCAGGGTAGGGGGGGCAGGGCAGGGGGGCAAGGAGGGCAGGGCAGGGGGGGCAGGGCAGGGGGGGCAAGGAGGGCAGGGCAGGGGGGGCAGGGCAGGGGGGGCAAGGAGGGCAGGGCAGGGGGGGCAGGGCAGGGGGGCAAGGAGGGCAGGGCAGGGGGGGCAAGGAGGGCAGGGCAGGGCAGGGGGGGCAAGGAGGGCAGGGCAGGGCAGGGGGGGCAAGGAGGGCAGGGCAGGGGGGGCAAGGAGGGCAGGGCAGGGCAGGGGGGGCAAGGAGGGCAGGGCAGGGGGGGCAAGGAGGGCAGGGCAGGGGGGGCAGGGCAGGGGGGGCAGGATGCACTGAGAGGCTGCAGTTAAAATTGCTGGAGTTCATTTTGCTGGAAATCTTTCTTGTTGCTAAATGTTTTAAAAGTGCAAACTGGCAGACTGCCCGGACAGACAGACAGACAGACAGACAGATATAGATAGATATAGAGAGATTGGACTGACTTACTTGTTGCGCCCCGTGGCTCTGTTTGCAGAGGTCCGAGGAGCGGACCGAGGGGAGGAAAAGAGATTGTATCTGGAAGATGACAGAGCCGGTTCCCCATCAGTCGGTGTGAGGCTGATCAGAATCAGCGACCAGATCAGCAAAGCCGTCCCGACTTTTCTTCTGCTCATTGCACCCGGACGGGAGCAAGTGCCCATTCAGCCTTTGCAATTTAAAGTGATCACTCCAAACCCCAGAGGCTGCAGCAAAGGGATCAGTGCTCAGGACTTGGGGGCAGTCAGTCAGTGAACAGACTGCACTCGCAGACACACACTCGCACACACACAAGTTCAGTGGATCTGCCCTGTGTGGGGATGAGGAGGTCCTCTGCTGAGGAGCAGAGGCGGTTTGTCTCGGGCTTTTCCTGTTCCTCTGGGTTGAGTGTTTAGGGAGTGGCGTTAATTCTGGTGCAATGAAGCATTGGCCACACAAGCAACTCGGGGGTTTTTTTTTTTTTGGTTTTTTTGGAGAAAAAAATATCTTTCAGCCCCATTCCACTTCTCGCACAATCTTCCGAGCTGACAGCCTGACTCAGTTGGTGGCACTCTTTCTCAAGGAGTCAGAAGGTTTTGTGGGTTCGAACCTCATGTGGGGGACTCTGTGCTCACAGGCGAGGCTGATGGGGCGGTGTTTGGGGGAGCCCAGCATTGGAGGAGGTTTCCATCCCTTCCACAAGAAGGTGAACCCAGGCCCTACCTGTTCATTTAGATGTTAAAGATCCCACAACACTATTGGCGTAACAGTTTCTCTCAATGTCCTGGATAATAATTCCCAGGATGAAACTAATCATTTACTTCAAGGCATGGGCTGCTCCGTGACAATTGGCCGCCACATTTGCCTACAAAGACAGGGTCACTACACATTACAGGAAATCATGTCAGGTGTTTTGAGATGCTTTGATGCTTTCCTAATGTGAAAGACGCTGCACAATTTGTTGTTGTTGTTTGTTGATAAGACGTCATGTCGAATGCAAGGATTGCGTCAGCCATTGTCAACTGAGCATAGATGGCGGCTGAAGAGGGCAGCGGGGGTTAGCCGTCTTTAAGTCTGGCATGGAGCCTGCACGGTGATGAAGGTAAAGGAGGAAGCGACGGTATATTACACTTCAGCTCCCCCTAAAAGAGGTGTGCCTGTGGATAGATGTTTAACGGCCGACGCCCCTCGAGCCCTCGCCTCCCACCACATATGAAAATGAGCCCCACAAACAGGAAGATCTCAATCTCTGTGCATTTAGGTCATCTCAGTTAAGTCGCAGGACAGGGTGCTAAAATTGGCCTGAATGCACTTTGACTCCAGAGGGTTAAATCAAGCACTTTCAGTCACTATCCAGTGAAGCTGTTGGAGACTGGCATTTGCCTCTGTGTGATCATAGATTTGGGGAATGGGTCTGGGAGAGAATTAGACTCAGCTCTGATGTCCTTGACCATTGAAATAACCTGCCAACAACTACACGCACGCACTATCTAGGCTCGCACAAGAGAATGGACAGTGCCCATGGATTTGTAATATAAGATGAGTCATCAGTGTTGGGGAAAAAACAAGAAAAAACTAAAATAATTTGCTACTATAAAAGGGTAGAGTTGTTCTGTTGGGAATCTGGTGAAGAGAAGCAAGACACAAAATTGGAGACTTAAGATATCAGGGCAACAGGATGCCAATTCCACTCCCTCCCCAGGTTTCAGTGCACAATACATCATTTTTATAAAAAGCAATTTTTGTCATAAAACTACCTACATGTTGCCAAGAATGTCCTGCCTGAACTCGGAATTCTATAAACAGCAGATAGAAATAGCCAAGACAGCTTATTTAATAGTTTGTTTAGAAATGAAATTAAAAAGAAAATATGTAACAGATATAGTTTACCAAGTGTAACTTTTATTAAAACATACTATTGTTTCTTTGGTGATGCTTTGCAGGGGATTGATTGAAAACAGTGCATGGACAATCAATTAGGGAATTGGCTCAAGTTCTTGTATTGTTCAGGCTAGTGAACAATACACTATTGTATCGCCCTACCCCTCTCCTTATCTCTCAGTTCTACCTCCTTGCCTCTCTACTCACAGACATCAAAAACCTCTTCCTGTCCACTGGTACCATTCCCACCCCATTAAAAATGGCCATCATCACTCCTATCCTTAAAAAACCCTCCTGGCACTCATCTGTGCTCTCAAACTACCACCACGTCTCCAACTTCCCTTTCCTCTCTAATGCCGTGGAAGGAGTTGTTGCTTCCCAGCTTTGCTCCTTCCTCTCCTGCCACGCCCTTCATATATAGCGCCCTCCACGCCAGACGGCATCTCAGAGTGCTTCACAGTAACGGATCCCGGGGCCGAGCCAGGGGGAGGGGGAGGAAGGTGACCAAAGGCGCGGTCAAAGAGAAAGGTCTTCAGCAGAGACCTGAAAATAGGAAGAGAGAGAGCGAGGTGAAGGGAGTGAGGAAGGGAGTTCCAGAGCCTCGGGGAATAGTGGCTGAAGGCATGGCCGCTGAGGGTGGAGAGGAAGACTCGGTGGACAAGGAGGAGGCCAGACCCGGAGGAACGAAGGCAACGGGCCCTGTTTTGAGAAGAGAGAAGGTCAGAGAGGTAGGGGGGTGCAGAGGAGTGAAGGGATTTGAAGACAAGAGTGAGGATCTTGAAGTCGATCCTCTCTGGGACAGGCAGCCAGTGCAGTCTGGCAAGGACTGGGGTAATCGGGGAGCGGAGTTTGGTGCGGGTGAGAATGCGGGCAGCAGAGGTTTGAATCATCTGGATTTTATGGATGGTAGTGGATGGGAGATTGGCGCAGAGGGCATTAAAATAGTCCTGCCGAGAGGTGACAAAGGTATGGACCAGGGTTTCAACGGCTTTCGGAGAGAGGTATTGGCGGAGACGGGTGATGTGTCGGAGGGGAAGAAAGCGGTGTTGGTGAGGGACCGGATGTGGAGGAGGAAGGATAATTGGGGCTTGAACCTGAGGCCTAGGTTGCTTACGGGTTCAGAGAGTTTTAGGGGGAGGTCGGGTAGGTGGATGAGGTGAGATCATGATATTCTAGACGTTGACGAGAGCCAAAGAGTATGGCTCCCATTTTGTCAACGTTCAGCTGAAGGAAATTTATGCTCATCCAGCCCCTGAGGTCTGACAGGCAGGCTGACAGAACATCAGGGGACTGGGGGTCGCAAAGAGAGGTGGAAAAATAGTTGGGTGTCGTCCACATACATGTGGAAATGTACCCCATGTCTGCGGATGACATCCCCAAGAGGGAGCATGTAGATCAGAAAGAGGAGGGAGCCAAGAATGGATCCTTGGGGTACCCCGCAGGTAACCGGGTGAGTGCGGGAGGAGAAGCCGTTTGTGCAGATGTACTGCTGGCAGTTTGTGAGGTAGGTCTCGAACCAGGCAAGTACAGTCCCACTGAGGTGGATGAAATCACCCATTATGAGCAGGCGTTCAGAGCAGAGGGACAGGGAAGAGAGGAGAGTAGAGATGTCTGTGTGGAAGGAGCCAGGGGGCTTAGGGGAGCGGCAGACAAGGAGGATTTTCAATGGGAGAGAGGGGTGGAAGAGGGTGAGGTGCTCGAAGGAGGGGAAGCAGCCAGAGGAGTAGGGGGGTGAGACCAAGTAGGCTTTGGAAATGAAGGCCACCCCGCCGCCACGTTGGTTTGGATGGGGGTTGTGGTGGAAGGTGTAGCCTGGAGGGAAGGTTTCCACTAAGGGGACGGGGTCATTGGGGGAGAGCCAGGTTTTGGTGAGCCCAAGAATGTCAAGGTGCTCATCCAGGATGAGGTTGTGGATGGTGAGGGCTTTGATTGAGAGAACGGACATTTTGGAGGGAAATGCAGGTGGGTTTGCTGGAGTGGGTGAGTGAGGAGAGAGTGATACGGAGAGGATTTTTTGGTGTACAGGAAAGATGGTTGTGGAGAGCGGTGTGAGTGGAGAGTTGGGGAGGCAATGTATGAGGGAGGGGGAAGTTGAGTTTACCTTAAGGAAGCGGTTTGAGCGGAGGGAGTGAGTGATGGGACATGTGGGGTTCCTATTCTGGGACAGCCAGTGCCGGGAGCCACGATGGGCCCGGCGGAGGATGCCCAGGCTGAAGCAGAGGGAAGTGGTGATGGAATCGAGGAGAGAGAGAAGGCAGGGAGGGCGGTGAGAGAGAAGGACAGAGGAGGAGTAGCGGATAGAGAGGGGGTGGGAGGCGAGACATTTAGAGTGGAGGGGGAGGGAGAGGCTCGGGTCAGGGCGGCAGCCAAAACGCTCACACAGAGACCGGGAGCGAGTGATCAGCGGGACGGCATCAGCCCTCAGGCTGTGTGGTCATGGCCGGGATGGCAGTGACAGGGGCTGCCAAGACATTGTTGGAGCCACTCCTTTATACCCGCAGGTAGGCCTCGGCTCCACCCCGTGCTCTCCTGACTCCTACTGCCTCCTCGTCCTCCTTGACCTCTCTGCTGCTTTCGACCACTCTATCCTCATCCACCACCTCTCCTCTAACCTCAACCTTCACGGCGCTCTCCTTGATTGGTTCAGATTGTACCTCTCACACCGTCTCCACTTCATCTCCTCAAACGGTTTCTCCTCTAGCCTCTGCACCGTCTCGTGTAGAGTTCCTCAGGGCTCTGTCTTTGGTCCCCTCCTCTTCAACATCTGTATGGCTCCTTCCTGGTGACATCATCCGCAGACATGGGGTCAACTTCCACATGTATGCGGATGACATCCAACTGTACCGCTCTGCCTCCACCCTTGACTCCAGGACCACTGCTAACAGCATCACCGTCCATGGTTGCACACTCCACCTTACTAAGCCAGTCCAGAATCTTGGGGTCTTGTTTGACCCTCAGCTATCCTTTCTACCCCACATCTGAGCCATGATACACTCTGCCTTCCCCCACCTCTGCAACATCACCCAGCTCTGCCACTGTCTCACAACGAAGGCCCCTGAAACCCTCATACACACATTCATTACATTGAGGTATGACAATGCAAACTCCTTGCTTGACAGCCTCGTTAAGTCCTCCCTCCATAGGCTGCAGATCATCCAGAACTCTGCACCCCGTGTCCTCTCCCGCACCAGCCTCCGTGACCTTATCACCCCCATCTTCGCCCAACTTCACTGGCATCCCATCACACAGAGGATACAGTTGAAGATCCGGGTCCTCACCTTCAAAGCCCTCCATAGTCTTGATCTCCCCTACTTTTGCGACCTCCTAACCCACTAACATCCTGCCTGCT